CCTCCCTGCTGTCTCCGCCCGGCCCCCTCCCACCGGCCGCCCCCGTCGCATTTTGTTTTTGTGTTTTTGCAGGGAGGAGCCCTTCCTGCAGGCGTGGAAACCATGGTGCTCACGCTCGGAGAAAGTTGGCCGGTATTGGTGGGGAAGCGATTTCTCAGTCTGTCTGCAGCAGACGGCAGCGACGGCAACCACGACAGCTGGGACGTGGAGCGCGTCGCCGAGTGGCCCTGGCTCTCCGGGACCATTCGAGCTGTCTCCCACACCGACGTTACCAAGAAAGATCTGAAGGTACAGGCGGCTCCGGGCCTCTGCTGCCGGACGTTTCGCAGTTACCTTGGTAACGCGACCATGGGTTCCCTCCTTCCGTTTTCTGAAAACGGAGACCAGAAAGTTGGCATATGATCTGAAGGTGCAGGAAGCTAGACCTTGAAAGTCTTTGGAATGGTGGTGTAGAGCCGAGTTGTGTTTGGCCCACAGCTCCTGGCTGCCTGGCTTTAATAATGGGCTTAGGGTTGTTCAGACACGCTTCATTAATGCCGGTGCTGTGTCCCACTAGGGCTGTCTCATCTTTACTCCAGAGGAGGAGGAGTATTTTTGTTAGCGTTAGGTTGGGCCTGTGGGTGACGTTTGGGGTCATTAAGAATTGAGAGTTAGTGTTTAGAAGTACTTTCAGCTGGTTTTGTTTGTTTGTTCCTGTTAATTTATTCACTCAACTTTTAAAAAACTTCCATACTTGTTAAAAACGAAGTGAGTGTAGAGGGAGGAGCTTAAGTTCTGTTTGGCGTATTAGGGTGGGTGTTTGTCCGTATGTGGTGGGTCAGGGCAGGAGTGGGTTCCTGGTTGTCTGTGATGAGCCTGTGGGTGGGTGTGGGATATGACCATATATGGAGGGATGGGGTGGAGCTGTCCCATATATGGTATATTGGAGGACTGGCTTAGAAATACTGTACTTGGACGCATGAGGGGAGGGAGAGAATTGGGAACAAGTGCGGCCAGTGAGTTTTTTTTTTTTTTTTTGTTAATCATAATGACACTCAGAACCTTTTTCTGTTAGATCTTTTCAAAGACAGATGAATTCTGATTGTGCTCCGTAATAGAAGTATTGGTGTGAAAGGATTGTCTGGGAACAACCAGTGAGGAAGCCATTGTACCAACAAAGACTCCTTTGTGCAAAAATAACTGAAAAAAGGTTCCTAACAAAGACTCCAAAGTGGTGATAACTTGAAGGAATCTTGTCAGAACAGAAGATATTTCCACCCTGCGTAGTGGATATGTTTCAAAATCTTCACTTGGCCATCATCTTTGCTTTTTCTTAAACTATGCTCAAATCAAGGAAGCAAGTTTTAGCATTGGCAGTTGATTTTATGTTGATTTCTGAAACGCTGTTCATTTGAACACTTTCAGGGGGACAGTGTATGCCCAAACTGGTATTTATCTGCAAAGAGTTGTAGGAAAGGGGTATGCTGTTAAGCATGTTTTAAAGCTTCAATGTTGTGCCTTCTCTCATGTTGTAAAGGAGGAGTGACCAAAGAGCATTTAACCATGTGCCAACCACTTCACAACTATGATCTCGTTTAATCCTTATAGCAGTTCTTGGGGGTAGGTACTAATATTGCCCCCATTTTATGGGTGAAACTACTGTGCCTGAGGGACATTAAGCATCTTGCCAAGGACACATAACTAGGAATTGACATATCCTGTATTCTGTCTAACCCAGGAAGTTTTACTCCAGAAGCTGCCCTCTTAACCGTCAGGCCAGTGATCAAGAGCCACAACAGAGCTCCTGTCATATGCTGTGAGGTTTGGTTTTTTCCTCCATTTCGCTCATTTTTCTGCCAAATCAGGTTTTGATGTTTATAGAGATAATATATTGTGGTACAAGAATGGCCTACCTTTTTGCTTTGGACTTATAACCTTTCTATAAGATGGGCTTTGTGTACTAGATTTCAGTCGTGTTTGTTGTGGTTTATTTCACCTGCCAAATCAAATTTTCTCTAGTGCATTTGTTTTTATGTGATTTGAATGGAAACAAGATTTTATTTAAACTTTACAGTCTTTAGTTCTTTGGCAGATGTTGAGAGACTAGGCGTTCCCTTCTCTTCTCTGGCAGTGACCAAGGACCTGTTGGGTTAGGCAGGCAATCTAGGAGGAACTTTACATGTATATATTTTTAAATCTCCTCCCTCCACCCCCGACCTTTGAGGAGGTGGTGATGTCTTCATTTTCAGAATGAGGAAATAGATTTAGGAAAAGGAATCTTCTCCAGATTTGCATAATTAACTACTAAGGGAGGCTGCGAATCCAGATTTGGCCGAGTGTCTTCTCCACTGCACTTCGGTGCCTAACCTGAAGACACCTGGGAGTTCATGTCAAAAACAATTTTGACTAGGTTGAATTTTTGCCTTACTTTGTACACATCACAACTCAACCCTCATGTAAGATGCCAATCTGCTGTCTCTTTTCTAGTCATGATTTATCACTGCATTTCTTAGTTGAGTAGCAGATATTAAGTTTGGGGGCTAAGTTGCCTTTAACAAAAAATAGGATTTTATTTTACCTTGATTTTAGAGTTCGGGGGTCTTGTTGCCCAGGCTGGTCTGGAACTCCTGGGTTCAAAACACCGAAACCAATTTGTGCTTGGTGAGATACAGGCAGGAACCAAGTAACTAAGAACATGCTTGCACTAGGGTTTAGGGGCTTTACGTTTTGGCGGGGGTGGGATGGGGGTGGGGTGAGGAGCTGAGATGAATGTCAATAAATAACATTCAAGGAATATGTAACCATTCTTCTATTATTAGGACCAATACAAGTCTATCTAGACTGGCTTGTTTAGATAGCTAGGCATGATATTAATGAGGCCAAGGCTTGTTGATTTTGTTTCATCTAGAGAGACTTTGTAACAGAATCACTTATTTAGATGACAAAAAGATAATATGTCTAGTAGTTGATTACACAGAAGTTAAGGTGAAGACATAACAACAGTAGATAACTATGATTAAGTGGTTACATCAGGATTTAGCAAAGAAAAAATAATCATTAAATGATTATTATGTGACGATTACTTCATTTAATCCTTACAGATATCCTAGATGGTGAACTACATTTTTAGTGTCAAAAACTGAGGCGTAAAGAAGTTAAATAACTTGTCCAAGTTTGTCTCCAGACCTTGGACACTGGGCTTTAATATTCAGGTAGAGCGAGGTTAGAGCATTTTAGTTTGCTAGCCTCTATATCCCTAGCACTTAGAACACTGCTTGGCATGTAGTGTGTGCTCAACTATTTGAATGGATAAATGAAGGAATCGTAAAAGTATTACCTCTCCTGTGGAGCAACAGTTCAGAAAGAATCTACTGATGAGGCAGTAGCATTCTCTTCATCTGGAATGACAACAGATCTTAATTAGATGTGGCTATAAAGACCACTTTAATCTTATTTTTATCCTGCTCTTTATACTTGAGTATGAAATGAGTTGCTTCCTAGCTGATTTTGTTCACATAATTATGCATGCTGGGAATGCCCTGCTTCTTTAACTTGTCCTTTTCTTCCTTGAAGCCTAGCTTTTCCTTGAGTCTAATGCCCCTTCTTAGTCCTTAGGGGTGTCCTTAGCAGGTAAGTAGTCCTTGCCATCTGTATGTACCATTTCCTGCTATTGTCAGCAGTTGGGTTACTTGACTAATGCCTAGCCTTTCATTTTTGCACACCATTGGAACTTTAATGTTAGTGCAGTCTGCTGCCAGTCAAGCCATGTAAAATGAAAAAACTTGCACAGTATAAAAACTGCCCCTTTTAATTGAATGCTGGACCTTGGGATTTTAGACAAACATTTTATTTAGGCATAAGAAGACATAAGTGGAAGCACAAGGAATTAATTTCTTTGTGGGATAGTGAATTAAGTGGTATTCTGCATTGTACAGGGCACAAAATAGACGTGTAGTTAAAAGTTTCTTGTCTAAAAACCATATCATTCTGTGCTCCTACTTTTAAACTTGGAAACACTTTCCTTGGTCTTTCTGATGGCTTTTATAATCATATAGTCAGGTGAGATGAGAATATGGTAAGAGTGGGAGATTTTGATATTAGTTTATTAGATATAATTGTATATCAGAGATTTTCTGTTGGGGAAATATTAGCTTGAAAAATCTGAAATACCGAGCATTTGGTCAAGGTGTTTCATAGGTACTAATAAGGTACACATTTGCAAAATACCATATTAAAAGGAGCAGATTTCAAAATTATAGGTAGTGAATCATAATTGACTCTGGCTTTTGAAGTCACGTGGCCTAAGTTACACATCTCATTGTGAACCAAAGGAGCACGGGTGAAATAACGCAATTTGGAATAGAAACTAGTTGTATCTGTCAGCTTGCATGAGCTTGGTCAAGTCACTTTAGTTCTTACTGAATTTAAATGTCTCTTTAGGCCAGGCGCAGTGGCTTACACCTGTAATCCCAGTAATTTGGTAGGCCAAGACGGGTGGAGGTCAGGAGTTCACGACCAGCATGGCCAACATGATGTAAAACCCAGTCTCTACTAAAAATACAAAAATTAGCTAGGTGTGGTGGCACACACCTGTAATTCCAGCTACCTGGGAAGCTGAGGCACGAGAATCACCTGCATCCGGGAGGCAGAGGATGCAGTGAGCTGAGATTGCACCACTGCACTACAACTTGGGCAACAGATTGAGACTGTCTCAAAAAATAAGTGTCTTTAAATGTTCACAGAAGAGGCTTTTTGGGGGGGTGTCATTAAATGTAAAACCTCAGACCTCAAGGCACAAATGAAAGATGCTTTGTTTTTTCTGGAAATGGGGTCTTGCTCTGTCACCCAGGCTAAAGTGCAGTGGCGCAATCATAGCTCACTGCAGCCTCAACTTCCTTGGCTCAAGCAATCCTCCCACCTCAGCCTCCCAAATATCTAGGACCAGAGGTGTGCACCACCACTCCTGGTTAATTTTTGTATTTTTTGCAGAGACGAGGTTTCCCCACGTTGCCTTGGCTGGTTTAGAACTCCTGGACTCAAGTGATCCTCCTGCCTTGGCCTCCCAAAGTGCTGGGATTACAGGTGTGAGTCACCGTGCCTGACTGACATATATGGTTTTGCTAGGAAACTTTTGAACAATATTGAAGAAAGCTCACAACTTGTTGGTTTTATTATGTATTTTTTAAAGTCGTCTTTTTCCAAACAAAAGATAATGTGAATTTTTGGCTAACACAGCCTAATATTTGAAAGTCATAAGCTTAAATTGTTTTTAAGGAGCTGAATTTTTTTTTTTCACATCACTCAAAAATTGGGATATGAATAGGGATCCTGTCTGGCTTTTGGTTTATGGTTATCTTAAGCTTTAGATAGTGATCTGGTAAGAACTGTGATGTTGCTTAAGTTTTGGGAAACCACTTACGATCTTAATCCGTCTTAATCCTGCACTTTTTTTTTTTTTTTTTTGCTGAATAGATATTAATCATGTTGAAGACCCTCTTTCCCTTGCTCCTAATAGGTGATACCTTGATAAGATTTGAATTAACCATGGAGGTGTTAAAACTACTGAGTTGTCTTGCCAGACCCTTTACATACTGTCTTTTGAAATATGCCCAACTATGCAATGAGAGGTGTTACGTTTTTCATTTTGAAAAACGTTGAGAGAACTTAGATTTTCTAAGTGAGGGTTCTTAACCTGGGGTGCAGGGTAGTTGGTTTCCTTTGTAATTGTAAATATTTTATTTTATATATGTAAAATCATTCTAAGAGAGATTCAATATAGCTGGGAATTCAAACCAAGATCTCTGAATCTGGATCTGGAATTTGTGGGTGCTCATGCCTCTTATGCCACATTGCTGATAAATGAGAAAACTGTCCACCTAAAGCTTGGTTGAGTTTGAGGTTGATGTGAATATGGAGCAGAAAGACTAGCCAATTTAGGGGAGATGTCAGATAATACGGATTCCGTGGCTAGGAAACAGAAAGAAAGATGGACAGTCTCTGCCAACCTTTGTGAAAGACCATTTGGTTGATTACAGTGATAGAAAACATATATATAACCAGGGAGAAACATATATGGGCCTTGCCACGCGGGTGTTTACATTCATTCTGATTTGGAAAGTACTCAGTAATAACTGCAAAGTTAAAAGCCTAAAATACCAGGAAGATATGTAGTTTCCTAGGTAAAGTTACCTGGGAAGTTAGGGATGCATGTTTTGTTGACTGAGAAGGGTAGGGTAGATCTTAGATTTCATTTATTTTTATCCTGTAGACTGGAGAAGGTTTGGGATTGGGGCTAATGTGGGAATTTAGTGCCTTCTAAGTAGATGAGAGAAACAAGATAGGAACCCATTGCAGAGGGAAATTTATTCATTAATCTATTCCAACAAGTATTTGAGTGCCGATTAGTTTCCATATACCAGTGATATACGGTGGTAAGCAAAAGCAGAGACAGACTTTGACCTATTAGAATTTATTTGTCAATCAGTTAACCACAAATAAATAATGCAAAGTGTGGATAAGAGCTAAGACGGAAAAGTACAGAACTTTGAGTGCAATTAGTAAGGAGACCTCTCTTGGGAGAGAGAGGCACTTTGGTAAGGGAGGGTTTGAGGAAAGGATATATGAATTTTGTTCTGACAGATGAAGTTAACTAGTTAATAAACTTAAGGTTGAAAAGGGATGTATGACTGATGTCTGTAAAATTATGAACAGATTTGATAGATGATAGATGTATTAACTAATTCCTGGAAACCAAAATGAGAGACCTCTTTAGTGAGAGGAGGAATTTTAAATCAAATAGAAACAGTGATTTTTACACTGAATATTGAGGGAGTTTATTGTCATTGGTAGAATACAAAAAGCGTTAAAGAGGACCTAGAGTAAGTTAAGGGGTAGCATATTCATAATGGGTTAAGGAAGCTGGAGTGTTTCAGTGCTTTTATATGACTTTGAGTTTTATGGTTTTGTAAACAATTCCTACTCATAGATCACTCCCAGAAGCCCACTTTTAGACTGAATTTTTTTAATGTCTTAAAATATGTATACAAATTATAAGAGTTGTAGCCTTAGGGTTAAAAGTATTATGCAGGTCAGAAGCAGAAAACATTACAATTACTTGGAAAACAATATTTCAAGGTAGTTTAACTTTCATGTAAGAAGTTATAGTTCTGAAAAACTCTGTAGTCATTATATTAATCACTTGTTTCTATGTTATCAAACTAGGAGTTTTAGACTCCAAATTCTGTGGTAAATTTCCTAGCTTATTCAACTGAAAGGGATATTGAAAATGTGCTATATATTAGGCCTTGTGCTAAATTCTACTCATTTCAGAGGAATTCAAAAGCAGGTGGTGGATTGTGGTGATGGGGTGTTGTCTGAAGCCCACTTATATTGTCAACAGAGAGTTACAATGCAATTCTATTAAGTAACATCTTTTGAGTTTCAAATTTTTGTCTTCCAATTCCAAAAGCTCAGATGTCTAATTAACGTATGTAAACACCTGCTAAGTAGGGTTTCTTTGGTTTCTGGGCTTCCCAGGGGTTTACTTTAGGGACAGAGACTGGCCCAAAAAGCCTTGACTTCTGCATCCCGAAGTGAGTTGGGAGCCAAAGCCTGGTTCATGTGTGATTATGTGTTGTGGGCTGTGACGGGACGTGAGGGAGCTGAAAGGGGGAAAGCACATCCAGATAAAAGATTCACATAGAATAATGAAGGTATAGTTCATTATTAACTGGGGCATTTGTAATGCTTATTTTTACAAATTGAATCTGCTTCCCCCACCCCCCAATTTTGTCTGTCTAGGTGTGTGTGGAATTTGATGGGGAATCTTGGAGGAAAAGAAGATGGATAGAAGTCTACAGTCTTCTAAGGAGAGCATTTTTAGTAGAACATAACTTGGTTTTAGCTGAAAGAAAGTCACCTGAAATTTCTGAACGAATTGTACAGTGGCCTGCAATAGTGAGTAAAACTTGGGCTTATTGAACTCCTGAGAAGAGGGCGTTTTATCCATTGTGGGTAAAACAAGGAATATATAAATGTAATGCCAGAAAGTCAGAAAAGTTCCCAGGATCTCCTGCCAGCCCTGGAGGTAGTAGTGGGAATGTCTAGGTCAGAAGGCAGGAACCTAGCAGTCATATGCAAACATATAGATCTGTTTGGTTTGGCCCTTGCAATACTTTCAAAACATTTGAATTAATTGCCTACTTTAAAAAATGCGGAGAATACATCTAAAAATCTAGATTTCTACTGTCTCTTAAAAAATCTACAAGATAATGGCAGCACTGGAGCCTTAAGGCAGCAATAGGCTGGAACTGAATAGTAGCTGTTGCCTTGTTTCCTGTATGGTTTCCAGTCTTGATCTTATGATCTTTAAGGTTCCCTCTGGATTATTATATTTTTTGGCTTTAAAGATACTGTAAGTCAGTATATGATTGTGCTTTATCCACATTGTAAAATGTGATGCAAAGAGAAGAGTGAGCGCTGTCTGGAGAGGGCACTTTAGTCTTTATAGGACTTGAGCTGGTGCTTCAAGGAGTAAAGGTTGGATCTAGATAGTTTGAAAAGGCCGGGAGAATAGTTGAAGGCTGATCAGATTGTGATCAGGTTTTGCCCATAAGTGAAAAGAGCTGCCATGGAGATTCTTGAGAGATAAGGGTTGTGGTTAAAGTTTTATTTTGCTCTTTGTATTTTTTTTCCAGCTGTTTAGAACTGGATAAAAACACAGGCCTGTCTCCCCAGAAAAGTGTGCATACAAACAGTTTTTGCATAAATTTTTGGGAAACCATGAATCTGTGGACCCAGTCCTGTATATTAATAACTCCCAAACGTCTATCTGGTTTAAATTACTGGGTTTGAATAAAAATTGTATTATCTGTGGCTGCATAAATAGTAGTTGTGAGATAACTTGCAGTAAATAAAAAAAATTAATGGCTTTATCACTTTCTCTGTGTATGGAAAATAGCCAGTTCCTATTTTCAGAATTATGCTGACAGCAGTTACGATGCTAACGTGTTTTCTTTTGTTTTAGATGTACAAACCTCTGTTGGACAAAGCTGGTTTGGGATCCATAACTTCTATTCGCTTTCTGGGAGATCAACAAAGAGTATTTCTTTCTAAAGATGTTTTGAAGCCTATACAGGTAAAACATAGAAACAGTAGTAATCTTTAGAAACAGAAATACGAACTCCTTTAACATGAGAAGTACAGTACAGTTGAACCTTGAACAGTGCGGGTATTATGGATGCCGACCCCTTGCACAGTAAAACATCTACATATAACTTCGATTCCCTCCAAACTCTGCTAATAGCTTACTGTTGACCAGAAGCCTTGTTGATAAACAGTTGGTTAACATATATTTTTTGTATGTATTACATACTGTATCTTACAATAAAATTAGCTAGATAAAAGAAAATGTTATTAAAATCGTAAGCAGAATACATTTAGTATTCATTAAGTAGAAATAGATCATTATAAAGGTTTTTATCCTTGTCTTCATGTTGAGTAGGCTTTCGGTCTTGCAATCTCAGGGGTGGCAGAGGTGGAAGAAAATCTGTTGATAAGGGGTCTGCAAAGTCCACACCTGTGTTGTTCAGTGGCCAAATGTATTGATGTTGATTGCTCTAATTTAAATACCTAAAGGGAAAGAACCCATCCCATCATCAGTTAGGTGTTAGACTCATTCCTCAGTGTTAGCTTTTGGGTTAGTGCTGTCCATTTATGGTTGAAAGGACTATAGTTGATGGTGTGTGTGTATGGAAAACACTTAGGTAATATGAAAATAATGTTTAAGAGTAGACTGTTTATATACATATATGTGCATGCGTATATATACACTTATGCATACATATATATAAGCAGTCCTCATTATTTGTAGATTCTATGTTTGTGAATTTATCTACTTGCTAAAATATATTTGTAACCCCAAATCAATACTTGTGGTGACTCATGGTCATTCACCAGTACTTGCAGAGCTGCAAACAATTTGAGTTGCGTGATGCAGGTTCCCAGCTCCTAGCTAAGGTTAAATAGGTGATGTTCCAGCTTGTTTCTTCACTGCCAAAAAAAAATGCTCTGTGCTCCACCTATTCGTCCCTCCCTCCCTCTTTTTTTTTTTTTTTTTTTTTTTTTTGGTAATTTCACTGTTTAAAATGGTCTCAGCAGCAGTGCTGAAGTGCCATGATGTGTCTTAGGAACAAAATGTGTTAGATAAGCTTCGTTCATCTGTGAGTTATAGTGTTCTTGGCTGTGAATTCAAGTTTAGTGCATAAGCAGTGTATGTTAAATAAGATGTCTTTCAACAGAAACGCATAAAACAAGATTATGTGTCAATTGTTTGATGAAAATGTGACCAGAGGCTCGAAGGAACCTATGCCTGTATTTCCCCTAGGAGCAATGGTTCAGTATTTGTTAATAAACCATTTTTTTGCAACTTGATAAAACTTAAATACTGCAAATGGGTGAGAATAGACTTCACGCGCGTGCACAAACACACACACATTATAATAATATTCATCTTTTAGATAACATTTATAAAGCTGAATAATCTTCTTTACCACTTTCTGTTTTGTGACTTCATACTTGACTTGTTTCTTTGTGGTGTAGAACTCTGAAACCTATTTGCTAAAAGTGGTTTGGGGTCAGTGGTTACCGGGTTGCCAAGCCTGTGTTGGGAAGCCCAAAGCACTGGCTTTCCCTCTACTTGAGTCTCATCCGTACTTCCATATCTGGAAAGTGAGTGAAAACAGGATTCATAATCTGAACCTTATTTTATAATGTGTAAGTAATGGAACAGAGGAAGATGCTTTCACTTAGTTAATTTCAGACACAAGTTCTTAGGTTAGATACCCATCTGGATATTTTTCCTGCCTTAAAAGGAAGACTGACTTGCTTGCGGGGATCAAATAACATACAGGGAGGTTGTGGATATTTTGCTTTAGTGAGTGATAAAAGGAATTTTTTATTCTTAGTGATGTTTTCTGAATTTACATCTTTCCTGTATTTAAGGTTTTCAGTTAAGGTAGAACTCTAGTTTTGTTTCTTGAGGTTGAAAAAGAAACATCTAAATTAGTAAGTTTATATTTATTCTCAGAGGGGCTGTGAGCCATCAGTGTGAATGTTGTCATTAATACAATATTAATATATAATTAACTGGGAGAAATATAATGTGTGGTCTTTTACTGATGTTGAGTTTTCAAAGTTTAGTACTTCAGATAATTATCTTGTAGATATGGGTGATCACAGTAGGCTGTACAAAAGTCCACATTGGGGGATGTGATCATCCCAGTAGGATACTTGCTCTAGATAATGCACAGAGCACGTGAATATCATTTGGCATATGCAAAAATTGGGGTTGAAAGTTAGGGTCCGTCTTTAGATTGAATTTCACTCAGTTATTTGTGGGTGAGAAAAAGATAAGGTATCTGGACAACTGTCTTACACTTTTGCTAAGCCCTAAAACTCTTCTAGGTAGCCTGATATTTTTCTACTTTATTGAAGCCCTTTGCAGTTCTTTCCATTATTATGTACTTTCATCTTGTAGTAGGAATTGGAGAATACAATTAAATTTTTTGAAATTTTATAAACAATACATGCATGAGAAAACAAAAATGAACACGTTCTGGTAATTAATATTGATCTCTTATGGAGACCCTAGGTTTGTCTAATGTTACTTGGCAAAAGAAATACATTTTTCCAGTGCGGCTTCTCTCTCTAACAGACTAGTTATCCTTCCCAGTGGGAAAAATGGATGAACCATTCTTGGTCACTAACCATTTCACAGTGGCAGAAAAGCATAAAGGCCTGATATCGGAAGGGCTTCTGTGTTTAGCACTGTTTTTTCTTTGCCCTGCTAGAATTCGGTTTGGCAGGTTATTCCTATTGACAGTTTCTGTATTACATTTATCATAACTGGGTGTGCACACAAAGCCTGAAGACTGTGGAATAGTGCCAAGAATGGAGCTGCTGCCAAGAATTGAATGTTTCAGAACTGGCTTACTCTGAAGCCTGAGGCTATTCATTCAGATTTTCTGTTTGTCCCCCCACATCCCTTTTTGTAAAAAAAAAAAAAAAAAAAAAAAAAATGCATTTGTAATACTAGTTATGTTAAAATAATCTGTGTGAAATGGGTTGTTAAAAACAGCAGTTTCTTACCAGGAAGGGAGCTGAAGCTTGGTCAGCTTTAAGGTGCCTTAGAAAATAGGGTTTTGGCCTAGGTAACCAGGCCGAGATGTGGTTCAAGATTTTCCCTAAAATTGCCATCATGGGTGCATGCTTGCTCATCCCCAGGGTGGCCACCGGGCACAGCCATGGATTCACTAATGGGAATGTGGAAAAAAGGGCTGCCCATAATCAGTGGAGTTTGGTGGAAAGAGATATGTGTACCTTTGGAGTTAATCTTTATGATGTATCAAAAGGTTTGGAGAACACTGATTAAGGAAACATTCTTCTGATTGATGAATAAACTAACTCTCAGTTATGGTCATCTACCCCTGCTAGGAGGTTACACAGTGTATTATATGGCACAGGCAGTGTGTTATATAAAATAAAACCCAAACAGTAATTAAAATGAATTGACCATGTACATCTGTCTCTTGTGTGTCTTATCTGTGTTTTTTGTCCCTTGGATTTGGATTGTGATTTCCCCATCCACAGTATTTAGGATACAGAGTGTTTTTTACTTGGATTGACCAGCTATTTGTTTGCTTGCTTTTTTCCCATTGACAAAGTTAGTCATATTTAAAATTATGCTTTGATCTGCTCTTAATATTTCTCATGCTTCTAGCTTGGGATGACTTTACTTCAGTCTGCCTTATAGCTGTGCTCATTTGATGGTTTAGGACTTTTTGAGCCATCTGGTTTACTGGAATTGGAATGATTTGGGCTATCACGTGGTTTGTTGACACTACTTTAACCCATTTGATTAACCAATTGAAATAGCCCACTGGAATTTAAATAACTCTTCTTATTAACTGTTATTCCTTAACATGTAATGATTTTTCATTTTTCAGGATGTAAACAGTCTTCGACTTTCTCTTACGGATAATCAGATTGTCAGCAAAGAATTTCAAGCTTTGATAGTGAAGCATTTAGATGAAAGCCATCTTTTAAAAGGTATATGCATTACCTAGTGTTGATAGTTCATGAGTTGACCAATAATTAGCTTGTGAGAAACTAGGGTTTAGCCTCTCATTCATTTGCTCATTGAAATTTCTTTTTTTCTTTTCTTTTTTTTTTTTGAGACAGAGTCTTGTTCCTAGGCTGGAGTGCAGTGGTGCTGTCTTGGCTCACTGCAGCCTCTGCCTTCCAAGTAGCTAGGACTACAGGCATGTATCACCACACCTGGCTAGTTTTTGTATTTTAGTAGAGACAAGATTTCACCATGTTGGCCAGACTAGTCTCAAACTCCTGGCCTTAAGTGATCTGCCTGCCAAGTGTGAGCCATGATGCCCAGCCATTTCTTTCTTTTTTGCTCAAATAAATTTTTAAGAGTTTTAAAATTTGAAATTCAAAAAATGTGTGTGTTGCTAAAACCTCTGAAATTTGGAAAGTTTGGGGATTATATGAAAGTAACAGTAAAGTAGGGCCAGGCACAGTGGCGCAAACCTGTAATCCCAGCACTTTGGGACGTCCAAGGTGGGAGGATTGCTTGAGCCTAGGATAGGAGTTCAAGACCAGCTTGGGCAACACAGGGAGATGCCGATCTCTACAAAACATTTTTAAAAAAATTATCCCAGTGTGGTGGCACATGCCTGTAATCCCAGCTACTCAGGAGGCTGAGGCAGGAGGATCACTTGAGCCCAGGAGGTCAAGGCTGCAGTGATCCCTGATTACACTGCTACGTTCCAGCCTGGGTGACAGAGCAAGACCCTGTCTCAAAAAAAAAAAAAAAAAAAATAAATAAAGTAGATATTTTTAAAGCTCAGCTATATTTTGATGTGGAATTTGATATGTTTGGAGTATCAGCCATATAAAATGGATAAGGCATTAATTTGATACTCCTTACTTTCCCATTTATGTTACTGAGTTTCTACAATCATACATTTTTTTCTGTGATTTTTAGATTATCAGACATAGTATTTCTATTGGGGTTCCTGAATTTGATTCCTCTAAAACTACACAGGACAGTGAGTGAGGTCTTGATGAATTGTCTGATACGACTTCAGTCTGATACAAAATAAAAAGTTTAAATTTTCTCTTAGCTTTTCTGAAATGTCAGTCATCTTATGTTTGTAGTGATTCTTTTAATGTTTACTTTTGCATTTTAAAAAAAAAAGACTTAGGAAAAGATTGTCCTGGATGATGTTGCTGTTGGGAGATAATGCAAATGGTTCTAAGTTTTTTTTTTTTTTTTTTTAAGGGGACAAAAACTTAGTTGGTTCAGAAGTAAAAATTTATAGCTTGGACCCATCTACTCAGTGGTTTTCAGCAACCGTTGTAAGTGGAAACCCAGCATCAAAAACTCTTCAAGTCAACTGTGAGGAGGTAAAGACAACAATAACTCCTTGTAAGATAACTCGACAAAGTGTGATAACTATACAAAGCATGTATGATTTTCTAGGCACTAAATACCTTTATTATTTGAAACTGATTTTCAGTATGTTCTTGAGCGTTTTTATTTTTCTGTATCTTTGTTTCATTTATTTTTAAGATTCCAGCACTGAAAATTGTTGATCCATCACTGATTCATGTTGAAGTTGTACACGATAACCTTGTGACGTGTGGTAAGATACGTTATTAAAATCTTTCTTCTCCTTTCCCCTTTCCTCCTTTCTTCTCATATTAAGAGAAACAGGGAAGCCAGCTTAACCTATTTTTAAATATTTTAGGTAATTCTGCAAGAATTGGAGCTGTAAAACGCAAGTCTTCTGAGAATAATGGAACCCTGGTTTCCAAACAAGCAAAATCTTGCTCTGAGGTAACCTTTACTTATGTCACTTGTGTAAAGCTTTCCTTAACTCTAACATTGCATGGCTAGTTTATATTTTTTTAATCATTTATTTAATTATTTTTGTTTCAGAGATAGGATCTCACTCTGTCACCCAGGCTAGAGTGCAGTGGTGCAGTCAGAGCTTACTGCAGCCTTGAACTCCTGCCTCCAGAGTAGCTGGAACTGCAGGCATGTGCCATGCACGACGTCTGGCTAATTTTTGTGTTTTTTGTAGAGACAGGGTCTTGGTATGTTGATCAGACTGATCTTGAATTCCTGGGCTCAAGCAATCCTCCCGCCTCAGCTTCCCAAAGTGCTGAGATTACAGTCATGAGTGAGCTACTGCCCCTGGCTGCATGGCCAATTTTTTTAGTGTTATATTGCTGTCTGCTCTTCTTTGCTAGTTCCAGATCTTGGCCATAATTTCTACACTGAAGCAGATGGAGATAATATAAGTTTATGGTTCACTATTTTATTTAAAAAAGTTTCATTTTTTGGTATTTGCTGGAGATTCTCAATAGATTTGACAATTTCACCGTGTGGAAGTGTTCTTAAAGGTAAATTGAGTTGTGTGTGTCAGTGCCTGGCATGAAAAGAGGGAAGGAGCCTTAGAATTCTGAGTAGTTTGGGTGTTGAAATAGGACCCTCACCTTCTGAATAATAAGGAATTTTAATTGGTCGTTTGTGATTGGGTAAACAAATGTATTTCAAGGGAAGTGATTGGTTTGCCGTTACTAATTTCTGCCCAGAAAAGTATAGGCTTTTGTGAATGCTACCATGGGTTCAGGTACCAGATTTAATTCTGTTCTGAAATAGTTACCATTTGGACCAAGACTATTTCTTTTTTAGGTGAATTAAATCATTAGGACCTATTACAGTACAGATAACTTTTTTGCACCTTCGGAATCCAAATGCACTTGTCACATGGATAGTTTCATGTGTTATAATTATTGAAAACTCCTTTATAATGCTCTGCCCCAGCCTGGAGTTTAAAATTTAAAAACTGACCAAGGCCAGGAGAAATGGCATGGGGAGTGGGCCAGGAAGCCAATGAATGAATCTAGGTTTTTTGATTAAGGGCAGACTGGACTACAGCATCGACTGGAACCAAAGCTAGCACTGTGCCACACAAACACTTGAGTCTATGTAGCTAGGATGGTTAATTGGCTTTCTTGAATCTTTGCCTGTATACAGGCAACAGGAACTTTGATACTTCACCAAAAGCTTTGTAAACCAGTGTCTGAAGCCTCTGCCCTCCTTTGAAAGGGTATAGGCTTTGACTTCTTGAGTGGAGGCTCAGGTTGTTTAGGAAAGAATGAAGAAGTAATTATGGAAATTAGTCTTACTACCTTTCATTTTTGCCTTAAAGTTTACAAGGTAATTTCAAGTACATCCATCCAAGAAACCAGTTACTGTATTAAGTACTCACTGTGTAGTGGATACTTGGTCCTGGAGATTGAAAGGTATCTGGAGTTCCTGTCTCAGAGTCCATAGGATAGTGAAGGAGACAGACTTCCAAAGGGCTCCCACAAGTGCAGGGGGAGTGCTCTGGGCAGGAGCTCTGCAGGTGCCTCAAGAAGCAGCCTGGGCAGAACCCGTGAGACAGAGAGGACATGTCTTGTTTGGTGAAGGGCAAATGTTTCATTGTGGCTGGGGCACAAGAGGCATGGAAAAAGAGAAGCAGGGTCAGAGATAGGAAGTTTGGGTTTTATGCTGCAGATGAAGAAGGGGTGTCTGGGGTGTTCAGGGGTTTTAAGTTCAGGAGATTGACTTAAGCTTTGTAGATGATGGATGAGAGAAGGATATGAGAATAGAAATGAGGGCACTGATTAGGTTAGCTGTGTTGCACATCATAAATAGGCTTGAGGTGAGGCGGTAGCTAAGGGGGTGGAGAGCTATTTAGGAGACAGCATTAGTTGAATTTGGTGGAAGACTAGGTGTTAGGACTGAGGAAGCACAGGAACCTAGCTAATGAAGTAGGTAGAACAAATGGAATGTCTGCCTCAAAGAACATGACAGTTCTAGCTTAGGAATCCCAAGTGACATGGTCAGGCAATTATTTATGATACTATATAGTCTCCCAGTGTAGAAAGGGGCTGAGCTGGTGAGGAATAGGGGTCCCTGGTCTAGAAGGGAACAGATAGTAAGGCTCTGGGTAAGTAATGTGGCCAGGACTACACAGAGGATGTCAAGCTCAGAGACAATATTGTCGAGTAATCCATAGTATTAGAAGCTGAGAGATAAACAGGATAGAACAATAATTTCTTTATGTCAGGTTTTAACATTAGAGAAATTATTAGTAGTCTAGAGTTAGTAAATATCAGTTTGGAGAAGTTGGTTGTGTGTTACCTGTCATGGGGAATGTGTCAGTGTAAATTGGAGTATGATGAAAAGGAGAGCTGAGGTGTGCTGAGGAAAAGGGGTCAGGAATAGGAATGGCATATCCTGTTGGATGGTGGAGCAATCAGTCTGGGGTGCAAGCAGAACTGAGGTCAGTGGGAACCTCCTGTGGGGGAAGGTGCCTTCAGAGTGTTGAGTGTGTCAGCAATAGGAAAGGCGTTTGAGCAAGTAAATTTCTAACCTTCAAGGAGGTACTTGTAAAATGTGGGTTTATAGACATATATGATGTGATCCTGTCTCCTTGACTCAAATTCTTAAAAGGTAGGGAGCATTACTTTTTTATCTTTCTCAGCATGTTGCCCATATTATATGTGCTATTGAGCTGATTGATGGGCACATTAGAAGCTATTAAAAAAAATAAGCCTGCACTTTAGCCTGGAGATAAGTTTCTTAACTTCTGCATCTAAAATGATAAACTAAATAAAGTGTTTTAAAAATGTACGTTGCAGCTCTTGAGCTCTATGCTAGTCATGTCATTCTAAAGGGAGTTGAAGGTGGTGGATTTTTACCTGGGTTTTAGAAGTGTTTGAAAATATTTTTTTGATTATTAAGCTCATCTCATTTTAAAATTTTTGGTTAACCTAAAAAAGTATAGTAAAGAATAGAATCATCACTTATACTTCTCAGAGACTCTCTGTTTACATTTTGAAATACTTATCTCCTATCTCTTTTTCCCCCTATATGTATCACAGAGACCTGATTTTTTTGTTAGTTTTTTAAAACTAAAAGCCATAGTCTTGTAGCCTCCTTGATTCCTTTGCAATGTATTATAACTATTATTCCATATCGGCAAATATCTTTCATTCTGGGTGATTCTTGTAATCAGACAAGTTTTGGATATACTGGCCTGGCCTAGATTTCAAGAGGGCTGGAGAGATAAAGGGAGCAGTGGGGAAGGAAAGTATTTGAAAATGTATGAGTGAAAGGTGAGTACAGTAACACACTCAGCACGATTCTCACTGCGTTTGCACTTCCCAGATGTGTTGGATAGGCACTTTTAGGGTGGTCTTTGGAAGACAGGCATTTGGGATTAGGTAGGCAAGACTCTTGACTGTCTTGATGAATACTTTTGGTTAAGCTAAACCTGTTTGCCAGTGATATCTGGCTCCTTGAAGGTCTTCTCTGCCTAGCAGACTATTCCTCAGAGTTACGATGTTGCCTGGTTAGTTGGGAAAGAGTCTGCTGAGGAGTGTGAGCCAGCAGTGTCCTTTTTAGAATTCTATCATACACTCAATTATATTATCTCCGTCTGCTGGCAGGGAGGAACTATTGCCATGACTGGTATAGAAGACCTTCAGGGAAAACTCTTCAGGTAAGAAGAAACTTTGACCCTTTGTTGAGTCAGAGGCCAGTGCAGTGGTGCACTTGTGAACATAGGTTTGGGAATTGGAGTCCTGTTCCTGTTGAGCTACACCTTAGGAAAGTTGTAGAAGGAAATACTTGAGTTTCTTAAAGGAAAAGCACGCTAAGTTATGCTAATTCTAACACACGGTGACGGAATTGAGAAAGTTTTCGCAATGTTTTTCTGCTTTAAGACAGCTCATCTCTAAAATTTGTTTTAGCACCAGGCACTATGGTAAAGCACAGCCCTGTAAAGTATACTTTATAGGAAGAAAGTGCTAGGAAGTGTTAGAGACTGAATTTCAAACCAAAGGCTAACGCCAAAATCCAGTAGTCTTCATCACTGTGCTGTTGCCACTGCTCTCCAAATCTTCTCCTTGGTGTGCTGAATTACCTTTGTATAAATAGCAGATTTCTCCTTTCTTCCCTCCTTCCCTCTGTTCCTCCATCCGTCCTTCCAACAAGTTAGTATTTGCTAGACTGATCTACAGTGGTGATCATCACTTCCTATCACTTGAAGTAACTCATAAGACTTATTGATTTATAGCTATTTAGGAATGTTATGTGCCAACAGCATTCACTCATTCGTATGTTCATTCCACCAGTCTTATTTATTGAGCATCCACTGTATGTTTGGTTTTATGAGGTATAACAGTGGGTATAAGAGCAGGGCCTCTGCCCATAAAGAGTGTGCGTCCCATTGTGAGGAGACTGACAATAAATAAGTGAAAGGTACTTTCATGGCGTGATAAGGGCTATGAAAGGTATAAACAGAAAAATGATAAAGAGTAAGGGACAGCTTTTGGGATGCTACTTTAGAAAGAGTAATCAGAAATTCTGAGAGGGTGACATTTTAACAGACTTGAGGGTGAAGAGAGAGAACCAACCAGCCACTGAAAACAATGTAGCCGGAGAGATAACAAGCACACAGGCCCAGGCAAGAAAGGGCTTAGAACACTAGGAGATGAGAAAGGAAGCAAGTGTAGTTGGAGTACTGGGAGCAAGGGGGGCAGTGAAAAAGATGGGGGGAGGAGGAGCAGGAGTGGGTAGGAGACTGGACCACATGGGATTCTTGTAGGCAGTGGACTGCCATGATCTTATTTGATTTATGTTTTATAGAGATTGCTTTGTGGTAGGAGAGATCTTGGGTAGTATGCAGAGGATTCAACACGAATGGAAGGAAGGTTGGTTAGGAGACGTGTAGCTTAGGGGAAAGATGGTAGTAGTAGTGACATGGAAAGAAATGGGTAGATTCAATACATACTTTGCAAATAGAGGCAAGATTTATTGGTTTATTGATTACATATGGGAAATTAGAGCGATGGAGGGTTTTTTTTTACTTGAGCGGCTTGATTTTATACAGAGTAAAAATTTATGCTTAGGTTTATAATCCAAATTTCTTAAGTATGTTGCTCTTGGGAGAGTAAGGAAAGTTATTAGTGTATCAACTCTAAACATAATTCAAAATAAGGATGGTGACCTATATGAGGAAAGATAATTGGTAAAATTGAGCCCTGAATAAGCATTTCAAAATGGTTTGGCATTAAACTTTGGGAGACTAACTTCAGATTAACAGGGAATTGTAAGCTATTATAAGCAAAAGGGACTTTAGGAATAAACTAATTTCCTCATTTAAAGGATTAGGAAACTCAAAAAACACCCCAAACCAACCATAACACCTTCTGGAGAACATTAAGGTTCTATTTAACCAAAATTGAGTTGACTGAAATAGTATAATATATGATCAGATAATTTTGTGCCTAAAAATAGTTGAAACTATGCCAAAACTTGGCATGTGATTAATTCTTATTTTTCAGATATATCTGTTTAGTATGTGCTAGCCAGTCTTTTCAAGGCTGTCATAGTAAATTTCTGAGAAAAACATTCATGAGTAGAGTACATGTAAATATATTCAAAATTGTCAGGTTTTAAAAACCTGCTGGCCAGGCGCAGTGGCTCATGCCTGTAATCTCAGCACTTTAGGAGGCCAAGGCAGGCGGATCACTTGAGGCCAAGAGTTAGACACCAGCCTTAACATAGCAAAATCCTGTCTCTACTAAAAATATGAAAAATTAGCCGAGCATGGTGGTGCATGCCTGCAATCCCAGCTACTCGGGAGGCTGAGCCGTGAGAATTGCTGGAACCCGGGAGGCAGAGGTTGTAATGAACCGAGATGGCGCCACTGCACTCTAGCCTGGGTGATAATAGCGAGACTGTCTCAAAAACAAAACACAAAACAAAAAATCTATTAATGGAAGCTGTAATCAAACTTTAGAAGTTAGTAACTAGAAGATGAAGAAACTTTGGAGATTCTTCAAGTTTAGATTTGGTGGTAAGGCAAGATGATTGAGAAAGGTATATGACTTAAAAATTTAAGCACATGTGAGGAGCCTGGTGAGATGGGTGAATTGATTTCCCCTGGTTCAGCCATAGACTCGTTGTCTTGAATTTATCTAGTCTCTTTTTTCATGGTGGGAAGTTTATTTTTGTGAATGGTATAAACTGTTTAGAAGTGGATTCAATACTTATATTTTTGTGAAGATAAAATTACCTGAAAAGGGAACGGGGACAGGTGTCCCAGCTTTGTCCACAGGCCTGTCATAACTTGATATTTTTTGCAGCTTGGGATGACTTTTGTGACTTGATGAGCCACATAAGAGCAAGAACTGTCCTCAACTTTTATTGCATTGCAAAGGCTTATCTGGATACCAGATAGGCATCACTGCCTAACACAAGAGTCCTATGTGGTCTGGTCTCCTGCCAAACTACGCAGTAAGTGCGTGGTGGGCACTCAAGTCATGCCAAAGTGAATGCATGTGAAACTGCCACTGTTTAAAATTGTCACTTAAAAGTTCACCTCTGCGTTGTATTATTAAAGTAATTGCCACCTGACTGTTTTCCTGGCACAATAGTTCAGAGATCTGAAAAACATAAGCTTGTGATCCTTTGTAGGAAGACATAAGTTTTGTGAAAAGTTGGAGTGATTTATTTACAGTCTTAAAGCCCTTAATTTTAGTTTATCACTTGTTTCACTTTCTTCTTTCTTTTTATTTGGCAGTGGTATTATGCTTGTTCAGTATTAAGCAAATGATCTTAAATTTGGTAGCATTTTATTATTTCTTAACTAGGGACTTCCTTTTAATATCTGTTGGTTTGGTATCTTCTAGGCCTCTCCCAGTATGTGTCCTGTACAGTCTGTACCTACAACAGTTTTTAAGGAGATACTGCTTGGCTGTACTGCAGCAACTCCACCTAGTAAGGACCCAAGACAGCAAAGTACTCCTCAGGCTGCCAACTCTCCACCTAACCTTGGAGCAAAAATTCCTCAAGGGTGAGTAGTGATTTGTTAAAGATGTTTAATTACAATAATAAAAAATTATTTTAGTCATGGCTCGTTGTTTTTATCCCCGGTTGTCCAGGGAGATTTTTCGTTAGGGTTTCCGAGAAAAGATAGATAAATGCTTTTGGAGGTGAAAAAGTATAGAAGGCACACAGCAACATGGAAAATGGTGTAGAAGTGAAAGGGGGCATGAGAAAAGAGACTATCTTGATACAGTGAGAAGGATCAATTGAAATAGTATAGACATTTGTAAAACAAGTGTCTTCTCTGAAGGAAAAGGGAACAGATTGGTCGTACATGGAAGGTCGTACATGTGAAGAAGCAGTGAGACGTGATTACAGTGAGAGATTCTCCTCAGCCTTTACATGAGCTGACCCAAGTATAGTTGAGAAATATGGCAGTAGAGAGGGTTCTAAGAAGAATAGAGATGAGGAAGCAATAGCTGTAGGTGGTACTGTTACTAACTTGTAGAGGAAGAAAATGAATATGAAATGTAAAGTTTAAGTAGAAATGTAAAGTAGTTACAAGGTTGACAGTGCAAGTAGTTTTAAGGGAAGGGTCTCTTTTGGGAAGTGGTGGTGGCCTATATAGGCAAGCAGTTGATACAGACTTAAGATAGAGGTCAGAGAGACTGTGGTATAGAAAAGTAGGTTTGGAAGGTGGGAGAGTGGCTGAGCACACTGGTTCACTGGGAAAAAACAGGCAGCCTGGGATAGAGCTTGGAGGATGGCCATGTGGCAGTCAGACAGGAGGAGGAGCAGTCTTCAAAATAGAAAGGGAGGGAACTTTAGGAAGTTCAGTGATATCCAAGGAAAGATTTTTCATCTGAGTGTTTAAATGAAAAATTCTTTTCCGAGATGAAATCCTTTGGTAGAGGCAGGAACAAAAAGGTATAATAGAAAAAAAAGACACTGCATTTTTCTTGAGAAAGAACTCTAGGATGAATTTCTAAGAAACAAAAGTTCTTCAAGGCTGTCCCTAGTAAGATGTACAGGGAAAATACCAAATTGTTCTTTGAATAACCAAGTAATCAGCTATTCTATTTGCTATGTGTCCTGATCACTGAACAAACAAGAATGAAATTATTCCCTGTTAGGGCTGGTTACATGTTCATAGCAGAAAAGGGTTTTGTGCTGCTGCCAGTTTGTTAGATTTTTTGTTTTTTGAGGTTCTTTTTTTAGAGACAGGATCTTGCTCTGTTGCCCAGGCAGGAGTGCAGTTGCAGTGGTACAGTCAAAGCTTACTGCAGCTTTGAACTGTTGGGCTCAATTGATCCTCTTGCCTCAGCCTCCCAACTAGCTGAGACTACAGGTGTGTGCCACCACACCAGGCCAATTTTTAATTTTTTTGTGGAGTTGGGGGACTTGCTGTTTTGCCCAGTCTGGTCATGAACTCCTGGTCTCAAGCAGTTCTCTCATCTTGGCCTCCCAGAATCCTGGAATTACAGGTGTGAGCCATTGTACCTTGCCCATTGTTCGTTTTTAATTAGATTTTGTGTGAATATCTTTGAAGGGATTTCTAACATTTCTTATATACATACATATTTTAGAATTTTTGTCTTGACACATTGACTTTCACCAGAGGTTCAATTTTTGACTCTTGGCAAGTAGTAAGAATGCTAGTTTTATCTTTGAAATTCAAACGTAATCTTCATTATAGAGAAAAGTTAGCAGAGGTGTCTCTGAAATTAACAAGAAAAAAAAAAAGAAACTTTCAGAATTGCCCCTACACAGAGTTCTAGTTTTGATATTTATAAACCACAGAGCTCATCTGCTGAGTGTATTCTTTGGTTCATACAATATTTTGTTTTGAGAGAAAGCTAAGGTTCGTTGTGCTGTGAGAAGTAGAGCTAATGTAAGAAGTTAAAGATTTCTGAGAACATGCAGACAGAATTTAGGGTTGTATTTTTCTGACTGGTTATGATATTTTTGCAGAACTGTTGACTGATGACTTTTAACTCCAGCTCACAGAAACCTATCCTAAATTTTGTAACATACAAGAAATTTTCTTTTTTCTTTCATGCTCATTACCTTAGGGAACCAAACAGTTTGTTTTGGGAAGATAATGGAGAGAGAAAAGGAGGCCTGGATGCTAGCTTTCTATATTATCTTTTTCAGATGTCATAAACAGAGTTTGCCAGAGGAAATTTCTTCCTGTCTAAATACAAAGTCTGAAGCTCTGAGAACAAAACCAGATGTCTGCAAAGCAGGGTTGCTCTCAAAGTCCTCTCAGATTGGAACTGGAGACTTGAAAATTCTAAGTGAGCCAAAAGGCAGCTGTACTCAGCCTAAGACAAACACTGATCAGGAAAACAGATTGGAGTCTGTTCCACAACCATTGACTGGCCTTCCTAAGGAGTGCTTACCTACAAAGGCTTCTTCTAGGGCAGAATTGGAAATTGCCAATCCTCCTGTACGGCAGAAGCACCTAGAACATGCACCTTCCCCATCGGATGTTTCTAATGCACCAGAAGTGAAAGCAGGTGTCAATAGTGATAGCCCAAATAACTGTTCGGGAAAAAAGGTAGAATCTTCAGCTTTAGCTTGCCAATCACAGAATTTAAAGGAATCTTCAGTAAAAGTAGATAATGAAAGCTGTTGTACAAGAAGCAACAATAAAATCCAGAATGGTGAGTGTTTCTCAATATCTTTATTGGTAGAAGGTAAGAAATGGTAGAGATATATATATATCTGTTTCTTGTCCTATGAGAAACTGTGTGAAAATGACTTTGTAGAAATAGTTTATACAGTCAGAGAAGTTGAAGGTATAATCCCCAAATCTCAGAAACGATTACTGTTAATATTTTGGTGTACCTAGTTTCATGTATACACAAATGGGTTCATGCCAACAGTTTTACCCTGTGAATTAGTGTAGATATCTATTAGTATTTTAAAGCAAGGATTCTGTTATATTCATTTACCATATGATTTAACTGGTTCCTATTAGGTGGTTCCCAATTTTTAGGTTAAGAAAATTTTGAAACAAAATCTAAAGTAATCTAGTGATTACTTTATTTCAGCTTGTCAGTTTCTGTAACATCCAGGTTGGAGTAGGAGAGGTGATCTGTGACAGGTAGCTGAGATTTAAAATTTTAGAAAAGATGCAGAATTGTATCATTTCTGGAAAAGGGACTTGGGTTGAAGTTGTTAAGGATAGGGCTGAAATACCAGGAAGAGTCTCTTTGCTTAAGGGGAGGTCCTGCTGCACCCACAATTTAAAACTACTCTTCTTATAGGAAAAATGGTACATTGTACTTGATGCTACTTACATGAAGTTCGAGGATGCATTACAATGGTGGTAGTTATCAGAAGCTCTGTTACTAGAGTTAGAAGAACAGAATGGTTTCAGCATGTCAAAAGGTTTAGAGTTATTAGAATTTAAAGATGCCTTTTGATCACTGTTAGCTATGTGGGAAATTGGTATGGGTTTTGTTAATGTTTTAGGCTGGGCGTAGTGGCTAACACCTGTAATCCCAGTACTTTGGGAGGCAACTGTGGGAGTATTGCTTCAGACCAGGAGTTTGAGACCAGCCTGGGCAACATAGTGAGACCCCATCTCCACAAAAAATTTTTAAAAAAATCAACCGGGCATGGTGGTACACACCTGTTATTCCTAGCTACTGGGGAAGCTGAGGCAGGGGGGTTGCTTGACCCCAGGAGTTGGAGGCTGCAGTGAGTTATGATTGTACCTCTGCACTCTAGCCTGGGCGACAGAGCGAGAGCTTGGCTCAAAAAAACAAAACGAATAAAAGCAACCTACGAAAACAACTTATTTATTTGGATCAGTAAAAATGAATATATCTACACTGCCTTTTTAATTGCAGGCCTCTGTAAAATTAGAGGGCAAGATGGCTGGATTTGACTTGCGAATCTTTTTAGTATAGCATTGGAAGAATAGAACTTTCTTTGCCTAGCAATACTTCTAACCTAGCTTCTTCATTGAGGTTTAAGTTAATATAGCTGTTAATTTGCATAAAATTAATTGCATAAGATTATCCTATTCTCAGAAATTATGTAACACTCAAAGTACATATTCATAACCATATCCTTGTTCTATTTATTCTTTTTGAATCATCAGCTCTCACACTCAGCTAGTTTTTGAAGCAAATTAATATGTGAAGAAGCAGTAAAGATTCTAGTGCAGTAAGCACATGATAGATACACAAGTGAGTTATGGAGTCCAGCTTTGTCTCATTTAATATATTATGCAGCTATTCTCCATCTAATGGATTGTAAAAGAAGTGAAATACCTACTTACATCCTGGACTAGCACATCCTGCTATCTACTGTGACTTTTTTTTTGATTGAGGTGTGAGAGTGTGATCAGAAGCCTTCCGTGACTTCTAATCTGTGTCCACTAGTAATGCATGTTGGTACAGAAGGCTTGGAAAACTTTTCTGCTCCTTTCTTGCACTTTGGGTCTAGAAAACAAAAACAAACTGGAGTCAAACAGCTGCCTTTTTTTCTGTTCAGATAGATAATGTGGCTCCTCAGAAGTGGGCATTGCATTTTTCTCTTGACTTGGCTTTGAATTCAGAGAATCACTGATGGTAGCTCCTGTTGCTCTCCTCGGTAAAGAGCTAGATTTAGACAGTTCAACTTTCTTATTTCTAGATATTTCTTCGTGTGAGCCAGAATAGAACAGGTAAGATAACTTTTTTTGCCTGTGATCTGTGGAAGCGTGGCCCAACTCAAAGGATGATGTCTTTCAATATCTGAGTAATTAAAATTACATCCTTGAACTACTAATCTCTTTATTTTCTTTCCTTTCTTACTTTACCTTCTCTTTCACTATAACTGAATAAGAGTGTTTAAGGGATCAAGGACTAACAGCATCATGTTGAAATTTACATGTGGTCTAGTCCTGCTTTAAAAGAGAGGTAAGATTAGATCATCTCTAAGGTAATTATTGAAGATGTTTACTTTATTTAAAACCACCTTTGGTTTAGGATCTTCGCATTTTCTCCAAGACTGACCTCTCCCACCCATCTCTCAACTAGTTCCCCAGAAGCTGTTGGTTTTTGACTTTTGTTTGTTTGCCTAAAAACCCACTTCCTTCTTCTCAGCTCTCTTGGACCCTAAGAAAAGGTCTTTTCTGTTTTCTATTAAATATTCCTTAAGGCTCTTGACATACAAATGGATTCCTTACTTTGTTCTCTGACACGGTGATTGCTCTTTCCTAATACATCTCTACCTTTCTTTAGAAACCATATTAACATTTCAAGTTCTCCGGCTGATTACAAGTTAAAACATACAATCTGCATTTACTTAGAATTATAATCCTGTCTGTAGCCAGTGCTCTTAATCCTGCATAGACCACATGAGCAGAAGTGGAAGACATGTCAGGAGTCAAGTGACAGGCATTTAGAAGATGCTGTAACCCCGTAGACCGAGGGGCTATGTAGGAAAGTGATTTGTTTATTGTTATTTTTAGAATGGTTAGTTTTTGCATTGCACTTTTAAAAACACACCTTAAACCAGTCTTTTTTGCATTTGGAACATGACAGAGTGGACGTCCACAAAGTCAGACCTTTACGGAGGTGAACCTCAACAGAGTTTGAATTAAATACCTGATTTGAAAACATCCTAAAATGTAGGGTGGTGAATAGAAGTACACATTAACTTTAAATTGTGAGTCTGGCTGTTTAATTTCGAGTTTTATGTTGCCAAATGGATTCAGCAAATAAGAATTGTTTTATAAAGAGAGTAAAACTTTTCCAGTTATTCTGAGAGTTGTTTTCTGTTGAGCCATTTTTGGAAATTACAGTTGAACCAGGAATGGAGAAGGGAGTTCTCTTTAAGGGAATATTGGCTTTTTGAATAGAATTCAGTCATATATGAATGTGGTGTTAAAAAATTTGAGGTCCTGTCTCCTTTATCTTTTGTTTTCCTAGCCCCTTCCAGGAAGTCGGTTTTGACAGACCCAGCTAAACTCAAAAAGCTGCAACAGAGTGGCGAGGCCTTCGTACAGGATGATTCTTGTGTGAACATTGTGGCACAGTTGCCTAAGTGCCGAGAGTGTCGCTTGGACAGTCTCCGCAAGGATAAGGAGCAACAGAAGGACTCACCTGTGTTTTGCCGCTTCTTTCACTTCAGGAGGTGAGGCATTTTGGGAAAAGTTCAGATAATCTGGGCATACTTTTTATGCTAGATCATCTAACCTACCTTTTTTACTCCTTTATCAACAGTAAATCTAGAAGTAAAAAGGTGGCAGATGTTGCATTTGTAATCACTAGGTTGGAGAATCTAGATCTTATTGCATGTGACTTTTCATTCTTATTTTTGTTTTTTTTTTTAAAGTAACGAAGCTTAAAAATATAAACTTCTACTTCTGAAAGGAACAGTCATTATAGAAAAATGTTGAAGGTTCTGAAAAACCACTACAAATAACTACTATTAACTTTTCAGTGCATTGTATGATCATAAAATGTATTCAGGCATACATAGTTGGTATACTGCGCCTTCTGTTTTGAATCTTATTTTCCTATTATGTAGTAGGGACCTCTTGATCATAACCTTTTCCTTAAAATACTTTTGAATTTCTGTGTAAGAGCACATTAATAGTAATGTTTGATAATTTATTTCACCAATTCCCTTGTTGGTATTAAGATTATTTTGTATTTTTTGTGACTGGAAATAATGCAGAAATGATCATCTTGTCCATGTCCCTGACTATTTGCTTTGGGAGGATTACTAGAAATGGCATTTCTGGGTCAGAAGGTGTGTGTGTTTTAAGACTTTGATACACATGTTCTGTCAAGTTATCCTCCAGGAAGGTTGCACCTGTGTCCTTGCCCACTGCAGGGTTTGAACATGCTCCCATGGTCTCTGTACCATTGGCAGCAGGGAGAGGCATATGTTTTAAAAAAATCTTTTCCAACTTTATAGGCAAAATTTTCATATATATATATATATAAATTCAAAATCATTTTCTTTAAATTCTTCTGTCCTGAGTGAAGAAAAAAGCAGCCCTATCTTCTCTTTTGTTCATATAGAAATGAACAGTGTTGGCATAGTTGAACTTGAGATAAAATTCACTTTCTCAGAAATCTAGGTACTTTCAGGTTGAACTAACTCTAATCATAAACAGAAGAGTTGACTTCAATTTCTTCCTATTCTCCTCCTCCCCTTTCATTTTATCTAAGTGAAAAGCTTGCTGATGAGCTGAATTAAATGCACAGGGAATTTAGATCATTAATTATATATGCTTGTAATTTTCAGATTCAGGCTTATTTAACAAAATAAGAATTTTTTAGATACTAGTTTGCCCCATTCATCCCTTTGTAAATTGCAAAAGCACATCATAAAGCATGTGGGTAGCATTTAGAGCTGTAATACTGTTAACATATGTTAACATATGCATATATTAATATATTTTGAATAACTCCTGGCCCAGAATAAGCTCTCAGTAGAGGGTAACTCTATTTCCCTTCCTCTCGAGAATTTTTTTCTTAAACAGGTGTGTTACAGTGCATGTTCATTTTATGTGTATGTATTTTGAAGAAACTGAAATGGTTGTGCTTTGTACAGGTCTTTGTGTTTCTATCATGCCCTTGATTTCATGTTGTTATGGCTCCTCTGCTATGAAAGGTATAACTAGATTGGATGAGAGATTGGTTTAAGTTGCAAAGGCATTTTAGGGAAGAGATAATTTATTTTGTTTTGTTCTTTGTAATATGATTAGAGCTTTTTTTTTTTTAAACCCACTATATTTTTGTAACAGTCTAGAAGTCATTGACTTTATGACTTAGCTGTTTTTTTCATTTTTGACTTCTTTAAAGGGGAAAGTACCTTTGCCTAATGCTGCATAGTAGAAGCCAGTGTAGTAGAAACTAGAAAAAACTCATATCTTGGTGAAAGAATATCATAATTTAACTTTTTTCCTGATGTTTAGAGTGAAGATCGAGGCTGTCATTAGCCTCCTCATCAAGTTTGTATCTCATTAAACTCTTTCGCAAATAAAATAGGAGTTAGGGGTAGGGTCTCAGTGGTAAGGCTCAGTTGCTAGGTCCTGTTGCCATTACGTCTCACTTTGAAATGCTTTCAAATTTATTTTTTAGTGTTATGACTATCTCTAATTTGGACTGTCAGTTAAAAACTTGCATCTCTCATTTGGACTGCTTGAAATAATTTGCATATGTTAGCTAACAGAGTCTTGTCCTTCCAGTTTATTCTACACTCTTTTGGACAAATGGTTTTTCTAAAACACAACTTCGCGTGTGTCTCACATGATGACTTTTGATAGCTGCCCAGTGCCTAGCAAAGTCAAGGTCCCCAGTGAAATACTGAAGGCTTCAGCAATTGACCCCAACTTACCTCTGCAACTTCTTCCTGATTCTTACCTATTTGAATAAACCCTTTAGTCTAATTGGTCTATTGTCACCCTGTTCACCTTTAGTTTTCTTGCTTTTATATGAAATACTGTCTTTTGGACATACCTTCTTTCACCTAATTGTCTACCTTTTCTTGCCAAAGCAAGCTCAGTTACTGTCTTTACCGTGAGGCCCTCATCATATTGGCCCACAAAACTCATAGTCAGCAGTCAGCACTTTGTCCTCTGCTCTTACAAGAATTGATGACTGTTACGATATGTTACAGGCTACTTCATTGTGTTTTATGTCTATTTCTTATGTCTCCTACTAGAAATATTTGTTTATATGTATGTATGTATGTATTTACTTATTTATGTTTAGAGACAGAATCTTACTCTGCTGCCCAGGCTGGAGTGCATTGGCACGATCATAGCTTACTGTTATGTCAAACTCCGGGGCTCAAGTGATCTTCCCATCTCAGCTTCCCAGGTACCTAGGACTACAGGCTTCTGCCACCATGCCTGGCTAATTAAAAAAATTATTTTTTTGTAGAGACAGGGTCTTGCTATGTTCTCTGGGCTGGTCTCGAACTGGATCCGTCTCAGCCTCCCAAAGTGCTAGGATTACAGTGAGCCATTGTGCCTAGCCAGAATACTATATTTTTAGGCTGGGCATGGTGGTTCATGCTTGTAATCCCAGCACTTCAGGAGACCAAGGTGGGAGGATTGCTTGAGGCCAGGAGTTTGACACCAGCTTGGGCAACATGACAAACTCCTGTCTCTACAAAAAATGGAAAAAGAAAATTAACTGGGTGTGGTGGCACATGCCTGCCTTCCCAGCCACTTGAGAGGCTAAGATGGGAGGATTGCTGAAGCCTGGGAGGTGGGGGTTGCAGTGAGCCATAATCGTACCACTGTACTCCAGCCTGGGGCATTGGAGTGAGAGCCTGTCTCAAAAAAAGAAAAAAATATTTTGTGTTTTAAAAATCTAAAATACATAGCTTATGAAAAAAACATTCAAGTGTTACAGAGTATTGAAGGCAAATAATGAACAAATGGTCTGCCCTTTGTTCCACTTCTTAGGTTCTGAGGCCCATTTTAATGCTTCCCTCTTTCCAGAAGCTTGGACAGTAACGTGCAGCTGGAATTCATATAGGCACCAAGTGTGGCCATTGCTTCAGTGACTGTCTAGCGGTTACCCTTCTTTAGCTGAGCTTTTGTCTTGAAGCAGTAGTTGTATTTAAATCTGATCAGGTTATTTATCACCTTCTGTTTGTTAACGACTTACCTTTGTAGTAACTTACGATTTTCCTGCTCTTAAGTGCCAAGTCCAGCAGGTCGAACAACTATCCCTGGAGGCAGTGTGATTATATTGGTTTGAGTGCAAAATATACCTCTCCCCCCTTCTCCTTGCTCCTCTTTCCCCCTGTCTAGCTTGTCTTTTGGGGAAAAAGTGTTTTGAATCTTCCTACTGACATTGCCAAATAATCATTGGCTGTGATTAGCCATGGAGATTACAGAAAACTAGGAAGGACTTTGTTGATTTAAATAGTAATTACAAGTTGTGGATGGGCACGGTGGCTCATGCCTGTAATCCCAGCACTTTGGGAGACTAAGGCAGGAGTATCACCTGAGGTCAGGAGTTCAAGACCATCCTGGCCAACATAGCAAAATTCTCTACTAAAAATACAAAACTTAGGCAGGAGTGGTGGTGCACGCTTGTAATCCCAGCTACGGGGGAAGCTGAGGCAGGGAGAATTGCTTGAACCTGGGAGGCGGAGGTTGCAGTGAGCTGAGATGGCACCACTGCACTCCAGCCTGGGTGACAGAGCGAGACTCTGTCTCCCCCTCGCCCCCTCAAAAAGTAATTACAAGTTGTAAATCAGTTTTGTGTGTGTGTGTGTGCATTATATCTTTTTTTCCCCTGCTTCCCTAGGTTACAATTCAACAAACATGGTGTGTTGCGGGTAGAAGGATTCTTAACACCAAACAAGTATGACAATGAAGCAATTGGCTTGTGGTTACCTTTAACCAAAAACGTTGTGGGGATTGATTTGGACACAGCAAAGTACATCTTGGCCAACATTGGAGACCACTTCTGTCAAATGGTGATTTCTGAAAAGGAAGCTATGTCAACTATTGAGCCACACAGTAAGAGCATCTCTTAGGGGGTAGGATTTTTGAGCCCAACTTGATTTTTGTTCCTAAGTGACACCTAAGTCCTAATTGCTTGGGTTTTTTTTTCACCCAGAAGTTTAGATAACTTTGATGTAATGAGGTTGCAGTTTTCCTTTTGTAACAGGTTTGATCAGAGTTAGCCACCTATTTTTGGGGTTTATTTTGGGCCAATTACCAAAGGAGTGGAACTCCTTTTTTGTTAGGAAAGGTGAAGGTACAGTAATGGTGGATTTGCACAGCCTCACCAGCAGTGCAGGCACACTACAAGGGGATGAGGTCTCAGATTGGTTTATTTTAAAACAAAGATTCTTAATCATGAATACATTTCAAGGAAAGAAAGAATGAGAAGGCTGACTCTTAGACCTACTGGGTTAGAGTCTGCAGGGCTGGGTCCCAGACATGAGAGTGAGAACAGGTTCAGAATGGAAATGATTGTTAGAGTCAAGGTTTGAAGGGAATACTTGGAGGTTCTAGATGGGCATGTGCTTGTGTTCTCTGCTCTTTGGGAGCACTCTTATGCTGATCTGGCAGCCTGTTAAGCCACAGGAATCAGGGTAGGTGCCACATTAGAGCCAGACCTCCTTCATGACATCTCAAGCTAGGATGTTTGGAGGACGGTACAGCCTCTTCCTGTCCATGTCTCTCTGTGGAAATGAGTTAATCCAGCCAGAAGCACCATGGGGTATCTGTCTTGTAAGCCTCATATTTTCTTCCATCATTTTATCTTTATCAGTGGTTGAAAGTTAAAAGTGAAGCCTTTCCATTCCTCTGGTATGTCTCTTTTTAGACTCTGCTTACCCAAGTATGTTTGAATACAAGCATCCATGCCAGTCTTAAGAATTTTGATTTATTACCAGCAACTAACCGAAGCTAGCTTAAGCACAAAAATAACTTATTGAATAGATGTGGATACTCTCTCAGAGTCCAAGGAACAGGACTAGGGCATTCCCAGCTGTAGGAATCCAGAGCTGCCTGGGAGAAAGGGAATTGCGAGTGCCTGGAACAACCAGAGTCATTCTTTAGAATTACTTCATTCTGCTAGGGTAGTGGAGACTCTAAGTCAAAAGTCTTATTATACTTTTCCCCCCTGTAGTCTGTTTAAGACAAGCAATATTAGTTTTCCACTTTCAGTAGAGATACAAAGTTTCTTTATTAAATATATTTAAGTAAGAGTAGTAGATCGAAAGAAAAATTCCTAAGTAATTGATCTGGCAGTGGTACATACATGACTGCAATGTGGAAATACTTTTTTGGAATGTATTAGTAACTTTGCTCCTGAATGAGCAGAGCTGTTTTAAGCAAGTGATGGCTTTGTTTTCGATAATGGTGAGTCATCTGAAAAATGTGTTTTTTTTTTTTAATATAGAAAAGGCATAGACAGTTATCTTTTAGAACATAATTAAGAAACTGTCCTCCTTGAAGACTTGAATGTGATTAACCTTTCCTCCTTGCCTTTTTGATTATCCTGTTGCTCTTTCTTTTCTCTGTGACAAGCTGGTCAGATTGGAGAGAGAAACCCACTGTGAGTGGCACTGAAATACGCCACCATACCCAGAAGAGTTTACCTCTGATCCTGAGATTAGGGAGCAGATCTCAACTATTACTACTTTTATTCTGTCTTTTCAGTGACAAATAATCATTAAATGGGTGGCTGAGAGATCTAAGAGTACTTTCTGATAAAACAGTCTAATCCAAGTGTCCAAGATCATAAAATATCATTTATAAGATGCCTAAAGCTATATGTATTGTGTCCTGTGCTATTACATTGTAATGTAATGGCAGAAGTTCATTCAGCAATTGGTTTGATTTTGTATAAACTAAAGCTTGGTCATTTGGATAGTGTTCAGTCTGAAGAAGGATGAGTTAACCCCAAACTGGATTAGGAAGAAGATGTTCACCATAGAACAGGAGTGCAGCAGCATTGATCCAGTGTTGTTCAGGAGAGAGACACAGACTGTCTGCCAGGAGTCTCCTAGTCAGGAGACCTTGGGCTTTTCTGTGACCCACAAAAATGTCCTCCCTTTGCTCATATTTCTGAAAGCTTGCTGATACCTGGTTTGGTTCCTTGATCTGGCACTCCTCCATCTGGGGGAAGGGTCCAATGGCCTGTCCTGTTTTGGAAGGCCTCTCTCTCCAGTTATTAGGTCTTGGCCACTGGAACAGAAAATGCTGCTTTGTGGAATCCTGGGTCCTGCCTTAATCTGCTGGATGTTTGGTTAGTGTGAGTCAGTCCTGGGTGCCTGCATCATTTCTGGCACTGGCTAAATCGAATTTCTGACTGACTGGTGAAGGAACTGACCTTGGACCATTGTGCCTGCACAAAGTTAATGTGCAACTCCCTCCAGGCCCACTGAGCACCTTGGAGTTTTTAATGGGCAGTCTGAGTGGATGTAGGGTATCTGAATAACCTGATGCTCTATGAAGATTACTGGGTTTGTGGATCTGAGTAAATTCTTTTTTCCTTTGGAGAAAGCCTGGAACATGCTGCCTTTAAATTCTGAAAGTGACTTATGACTCAGAGGTTAAGAACCACTGTTACGTGATACCTGTATCTGAGCTCCAACTTGTGTAACTAGTGCTGCACAGTCTGAATAGGGATTCTGCTTGGAGTTCAGTCTCCTGGAGGGAGGTGAGACTGTGCCTGAATATATACAGTGAGAAGAGGCATGAATCTCAAGTACAAATTAAAGTTACTAGGAATGCTGAGGGGATCCAGGAGCACTTCATGGGGCGGAGGACAGCATTTGCAATGAAAGCTGAACAAAGTTAATTTGAAGTCTAAAGTCTAGTCACAGGGAGGAATGACAACAACCCCTACCTTTCATGTTTGATTTCAGAGGCCCTCTCCTTCCAAAGACTAAGTGATTTACTGATTTTTGCAGGACAGGTTGCTTGGAAGCGAGCTGTCAAAGGTGTTCGAGAAATGTGTGATGTGTGCGACACCACCATCTTCAACCTGCACTGGGTGTGTCCTCGGTGTGGGTTTGGAGTATGTGTGGATTGCTATCGGATGAAGAGAAAGAATTGCCAACAGGGTGAGAACCGATTTGATTCTCCTCCAGCCCCTCTACACAGTTAAATCAAGTTTTTTGTTGATTTATGTTTGGTGGGTTTCTTGAAGCATGTGGAGCCAGAGTCTATAAAGAACAGTTACTACAAATCAGTTATTTGCAGGTGCTGCTTACAAGACTTTCTCTTGGCTAAAATGTGTGAAGAGTCAGATACATGAACCAGAGAACTTAATGCCCACACAGATCATTCCTGGAAAAGGTATTTCATGTGCTGCAGTGATTTTCTTTCCCTCTGTCTTGGTTAACTCATGGGGGCTGGTAGTTTGGTTTTACTTTATTACTCGCTTAAGTTTATTTTTGTCCAGAAGTGTATTAAATAATTCCTCCAACACTTTCTGATTACAGTTTTGTAGGATAATTTTGTAGAAGAAAAGAAAATGTATTTTGGGGAAGGCCTCTGGAGCAGGAGGAAAGGGAGGGAGTGGGAAAAGTAATCCTGTGGGGAATGCCAGCTTCTGCTCTGTAACGTTGAGGTTGAAAGTACCTAATACCCTTGTTCAGATGTTTGCCTCTGCCCTTTCTAGCCCTGTATGATGTTGGAGACATTGTTCATTCTGTAAGAGCGAAATGGGGAATAAAGGCAAACTGCCCTTGTTCAAACAGGCAATTCAAACTCTTTTCAAAGCCAACCTCAAAGGAAGACCTAAAACAGGTATTTACTGCTTATGTTAAATTCACCATCCCTTGTAATTGTCATTTGTCTGTTTTTCAAATAACCCAAGGATTTCTGTCAGTGTGTTTGAAAGGAACCTGGGGATAGTAATCAGTGGAAAGAGAGAGAGAAATAATTCATACATTTCATGTGGGAGTTCAGAGACCTGTTCTGACTTTTCACATTACTTTTGTAGACTCTTCTGTGGCCTCTTTTAGTAGGTTTTACATTTTTGTTTCTTGAAAAAGCAAAAGGTTCTATAGTAGTCTATCTAATAAGTAGCTGTCGAGTTTGTAAAGGGTTTAAAAAAAATTCTGTGTGTTTTGCAGAATTAAAATTATTCAGATAAGCCTTAACATTTTAAAAATTACGTAATATATTTTGCCTACGTTTATGAAAAGTTGAAGGAAATAATGATAAAATGAACCTTTAGTTGCCCATCATGCAATGTGAAAAATGTTAATTTTCTCAGTCCTCATATGTCTCCTTGGTGGCATCCCTCTCCTCTCTACCATCACATGTATGCCTTGCTCTCCCTTCTCCTCCTCGTTGCAGTAATCAGTATGCCGCATTGTGTTTAATAATCAGAAATTTACATTTTTATAAAGCTGTGGTGTCATAGGCAGGATGGGAGAACAGAAGACTTGTAATATTTGGAGTCAGAACTGAATGTGAAGTCTTTTCCTTCCACTTGCTAGTTGTGTTACTTTGGCTGAAGTGAGCTGGTTTCTATGTGGTTCAGCTTCCTCATCAGTAATATAGAAATAATAAGCAGCATTGATGATTGGGCATCACAGAATTATATCATAGTAAAGAGAGGGCCTGGACTACAACAGGAGTTTGGATAATTTTTTTCCTCCTTCTTATGTATGTATAAACTGGCTCTTGTCAGTTTTAAAAATTATTTTCTTCTACAGCAGTCATCTTGGATTTAATTTATGAGTTCTTTTAAGAGCTCCTCATCACATTTTTAAAGCTAAGTCAAAATAGCATTTTCTCTTTCTCTGCATCCCATTTCCTTCTGAAATCACAGCTTTACCTTTCCTGCCTGCCTCATTTATTCATTTTCAACCATGTTTTCTGTGCCTATCCTGGATTCTGGGATGAGTTCATAGGGGAGACAGGCACAAACTGGTCATTTTAAACCAGCATGGTACATAGAGTGATAGGGATATGTACCAGCAGGGGCTGGTAAAAGGGTGCGCGGGGTAATATCTTGCTGTGTTTTAAGTTGCTAACATCTCTTCTACCTTGTAGTTACTCTCTACTAGTGCGGGATTACTGCAGCTGTGGGGATACCCAGGGCTAGCTATTAGGTGGTTTTGTTCTGGATATTTATCTTGCTTGTCGGTCGGCTATTAGGAGAGAATAAAAGAAAAGGAAGCTGTCATTCTTCAGCATATATAAAATCGTCCTTTAATGCTTAACACAGACTTCTTTAGCTGGAGAAAAACCGACTCTTGGTACAGTGCTCCAGCAGAATCCCTCAGTGTTGGAGCCAGCAGCTGTGGGTGGGGAAGCAGTCTCCAAGCCAGCCGGAAGCATGAAGCCTGCCTGTCCAGCCAGCACATCTCCTCTAAACTGGCTGGCAGACCTAACCAGTGGGAATGTCAACAAGGAAAACAAGGGTGAGTGTTTCCTGCTTTCCTGTTTGTTCCTGAGTATTTTAGTCCATTCATGGAAGGACTTGGCAACCTCAGTTGCCGGGAGGACAGTGGTTAGAAGTCCTGTGGAATGGAAAGTGCTTCTCTGGAGTCATCCTGGAACCTGCCACAAATGAAATTGTTTTTGAAATGCAGTACCAAAGAGGAGAAATTTTGCTGCATTAAAATGTAGAGACTTCTACCTTCTGGCTGTGTTACAGAAGAGAAGAATTGCAGGCCACTTCTTTTATATAAAGATCTGGGACAAAATTTTAATGAATCAAATTTGACACTGTAAATGAAGGAATATTTGAATGTTAGACTACACCTGAATTTCTGGAAAAACCTTTATATAGCTTTAAAAATGTAATAAGGTGCTCTTAAAAGAACTCATAAATTAGGTCTAAGAGGACTGTTGTAGAAAAAAATAATTTGGAAAGCTAGCAAGAGCAGAGCTGGTGAGTTTATACATACCTTAGAAGGAGGAAAAAAAATATTCAAACTCCTGTTGTGGTCCAGGCCCTCTCTTTACATGTGATGTAATTCCGTGATGCTCAATCATCAGTATTGTTATTATTTCTGTATTACTGATGAGGAAGCTGAAGCATAGAAACCAGCACGTTTGAGCTGAAGTAAGACAATTAGCAAGTGGCTGGAAAAGAATTCAAATTTTTCAAGGTTTTTCCAGAAATGAAGATGTAGTCTGACATTCAAAAATATAGAAGAATCATGGGACAAGATGCAAAAAAACATTAAGTAAAATTCAGTACCTGTTTATGATTTACAAAAAACTTAAGAACATTCTTAATCAAGAGTTTAAGCAAAAAAACCTGGAGACATCATAAATAATCATTGAATTTTAAAAAAAATTTGTTTTGAGGTTTTTTGAGACAGAGTCTTGCTCTGTCCACCCAGGCTGGAGTGCAGAGACACAATCTTGGCTCACATTGCACTCTACCTCCCAGGTTCAAGCAATTCTCCTGCCTCAGCCTCCCGAGTAGCTAGGCTCATAGATGCCTGCCACCACGCCCTGCTAATTTTTGTATTTTTAGTAGAGACGGGGTTTTGCCATGTTGGCCAAGCTGGTCTTTGAGGTTTTTTTGTTTTGTTTTATTTTAACAGTTTCTATGTTCAAGACAAAGGATATCTATTACCACTTTTTATTAAGCATTGTACTGGAAGTCCTGGTCAGTGCATTGAGGGAAAAAAAAAAAGTGTAAAGAGAATGCTGCCAGTATTTGTAGATAGTACAAACAAAAAATCCAAAAGAATCTGCATTTACTAAACATTTGTCAGGGTTGCTAGATACAAAGGTCAATTTACAAAATTCCGTTGTACTGGGTAGTTATTGTTTTAACCTCAATGAGGAATCCTTGTCTAAGTAAATCATATCATTCATACTTATCTCCTAAAGTTTTTTTTTTGTTCCAGTAAATAGACAGCAAGTTCTAAAGTAATTCTGTTTGTAGAATACTAATAAGGGATTTGCCTTTCAGAATATTTTTTCATCTGGATGTTTTGGTTTTATTTTAGAAAAACAACCAACGATGCCAATTTTAAAGAATGAAATCAAATGCCTTCCACCCCTCCCGCCTTTAAGCAAATCCAGCACAGTCCTCCAAACGTTTAACAGCACAATTTTGACACCCGTAAGCAACAACAATTCTGGTTTCCTCCGGAATCTCTTGAATTCTTCTACAGGAAAGGTGTGTGTTTGTTTGTTTGGTACTACATGTTATAAAGTTGAAAACAGAACAGGAAAAGAGTAGAGAAGTTGGAACTGAAAGTAGAAAGGAGACTGAATCACATACTTACCTTTGTGGGTTCAGAAGGCTTGAGTCATTGGAGGATGGGTTTTATGGGACTATAGTTCTGGGCCAGGCCACTTTCTCATGTTACCTCACTTCTATGAGTTGTCAAGTGGGGACAGGGGATGTGCCTCTTTGCCTGGGGGACCTGGCTTAGAATCTTCTGGATGTGTAATATATACTCATCATTATGGGAATGGGGTTTCTTGATGGTAGGCGAATGACGTATTTGAGATTTTTGTTCTTTCTCCAATTCAGACAGAAAATGGACTCAAGAATACACCAAAAATCCTTGATGACATCTTTGCCTCTTTGGTGCAAAATAAGACTTCTTCCGATTTATCTAAGAGGCCTCAAGGACTGACGATCAAGCCCAGCATTCTGGGCTTTGACACTCCTCACTATTGGCTTTGTGATAATCGCTTGCTGTGCTTGCAAGACCCCAACAATAAGAGCAACTGGAATGTGTTTAGGGAGTGCTGGAAACAAGGACAGGTAATGTAGGCCTCCCATCCTCCAGCCCTATTCAGAACCCCCTTCTTAGTTTCTTTGGCAGACTTCTGTCAACCCCACCCCAGCCTTCCCCCACCCCTTCACCTTCTGTTTTATTCTTTATTGTTTAGGTGAATATAATCAGGTCAGGATGTGGCCATGGGTCTTCCTTTTTAAAGCAGATGGTCCTAAACTGACTTTTCCATTCAGGTTTTTGTTGCTTCCTACCAGTCCCCGTTGGGATTTTGATGAGGGCATCCAGGCTTGGTGATTCCTATGGTAAACCTCAGCAGAGGAAGTGAGAGTGTGACTACAGGCTGATGGGATTTGGGAGATTAGACACAATGTGGTAGAAAATCATGCACCCCTCTTACCTGAATGGAAAGCCTGTGCTGAAGGCAATTCTAGGTAGGCTAGGGCCGTGTGGTGTCATACAGTCCCCAGGTGCCTGCTTTAAAGGGCAGTGTTGTTGGATCTTAAGTGCTGGTTAATATCTTCAGGAGAATTTCTAGGCCTGCTTCTGTGCTTTCTTGTTTTGGTTCTGTTTTCTGGATCTTTGGCTTCTCTGTTTGGCCAGATAGGGTCTTTGCTAAAGGAACACTCTGCTCTCTTGGACAAGGATTTGGGAGAATTGCCAAAAAGAAATATGTGAGTGTTTAAGCAAAAATAAATTTTCAAAAATGTTTTTCTCCATCTAGTGTACTAATAGGATTTGCTCATTTAATCATATATAGACAAGAAACAAAATGATGGGCTGAATACAGTGTTTCAGCAGGCTTTCTTGCTTGTTGCCAATATTTTAAAGTTAGACTATTTCACATAAAGTTAAACTATAAAGTTAGACTATTTCACATAAAGTTAAACTATAAAGTCACATAAAGTTAGACTATTTCATTTAAAGTTAGACTATTTCACATAAAGGTTAGAGCTTCTGGGTTGTCTTAGACAGCCAAAAGATTTGGCACCCTCACACAGCCAGTAGTAGTGAGGGGTGTCACCGACCATATTCCTGCTTGGCAGTAACAGGCTCAAGTATAGTGAGGTCACCCTGTTTCACTGGTGACTGGTGTCACTGGACACTCCTTCCAGCCCTTGTCATCTTCACAGTCCGTCTTGCTGTGAGTAATGGAAAGGTGATCCTTTCTCCTAGATGCTTACCCATGTAGTTTTGAGAGCAAGAGGTGTGTAAGCAGATGAATGGTGAAGGTTGGAGGTGCTTCGGGAGCTCAGAGAACTAAGCCTAAACTGTCACATCACCATCTGAGATGGAGCACCAGCTCCATGGAAATACACCAATAGCAGCGTGAAGAGGGACTGCCTTCAGGAGTGGGGACAGAGCTGCCAGAGTTCAGACTAAAGTCTTCTTCTCTTCATTTAGCCAGTGATGGTGTCTGGAGTGCATCACAAATTGAACTCTGAACTTTGGAAACCTGAATCCTTCAGGAAAGAGTTTGGTGAGCAGGAAGTAGACCTAGTTAATTGTAGGACCAATGAAATCATCACAGGAGCCACAGTAGGAGACTTCTGGGATGGATTTGAAGACGTTCCAAGTATGTATGAAAGATCTTTTAAGGGGGTTGAGGATGTGAAAGGAGGGAACACAGGAATGGCAGGAGTCTGAGACCCATCAGTGGCAGCCGCAGCATTTTCCAGGATTTTGGAGTTTAAAATTAACATCTCTCCTCCCCTTCCTTGTTACAATGTTTATACTTTTAAACTCCGAGGCATTATTACCTGTTCTGTTTGTCTTTGTTGTCCTTGGACAGAACATCAGATAGGGTCAATCTCTCTCTCTCAGCAGAATAAGTAATTTGTTCCATGCTGGCCTCAGAAAACTGGGTTTACTAAACACCTGTGACCTTTGATTGCTGACATGCATTGCTGTTGATTAGTTGGGATGCTGCTCACTTCTTCCGGAACACTGTAGAGGAGGAGCAGATTGGATCGATGACAGCTGTCGAAACACCACCTACCTGCAGTGGGCAAAAGGGAGTGGCTGAATCTCCCAAGAATGAGTAGCAGCTTAATAAGCTTTAGGAAAGACAAGGCCCTGACACAAATCTGTTAGTTGGTGATCTTTATTTTGCTGCACCTTGCTGCCTTCTGGGTACAAATGGATTTCTTTACACTGCAGAAATAAAATGGTGGATAGTTGGTAAGAGGGGAAAAATAAGGAGTAATAATATTTGTATACTAAATTTATCAGGTTATGAAAATTTTGCAGAGATAAATTTATTTGTATTGTTGAGGCATAAAATGCTACTTTGTCATTTATTTTGGTCTGTTTCTGAGTTATAAATAGTAACAGTTCATCGTGGTTACCTTTCAGATCGTTTGAAAAATGAAAAAGAACCAATGGTGTTGAAACTTAAGGACTGGCCACCAGGAGAAGATTTTAGAGATATGATGCCTTCCAGGTATGATTATGAAGGTGGGGAGAGATGATTCTGTCCTTGACTTGGTAGGATAGTGAGAAAATAGTTTTCAAGGAAATATCAAAAGTTCTGCAGTTATACTGCTGCTGATTTTTCATTTCTAGTCTGTAGTCATTGGACGCATGTTTATTTTTAGATGAGATGAAGAAGTGATTGGCTTTTAGGCCTGGCTAATGGAACACCACACATTTTCCGAGGTAGGCCCTACTAGAGAAGAGGCTCACTTTTTCTTACAAGGCTGATTTGGAGGCAGTTGTGGAATCTGATGTGTAAGGGTCAGAACAGTATAGTCACAGCACTGAGTTAGACAAGAAGACATCTATTGGGTAGATCTATTTTACTGATTGAGCTTGAAACCTTGAAAAGGGTATCATAACTAATCAATGATGTATCTCTAAGCATAACTTTTTGTCTAGAATTTATTGCTGAGATCTTTTGTCTGAACTGTTACAGCCGATTTTGACACATTTGTGTGTTGTAGGAGAGAAAGAAGACATGTTTGTTTGTAACTACTGTAATTCTAATCTTAAATATTTGATGGCTTTCTCTGTCTACATGATCACAGATGTATTTGTTCCTTTTGGTGTAAAAGGAACAAAACAGGTTACACAATAATGAATTAGAAAAGCAATCTTATTTTGCAAATTCTTGGTTCTGTTGTTCTAGGTTTGATGATCTGATGGCCAACATTCCGCTGCCCGAGTACACAAGGCGAGATGGCAAACTGAACTTGGCCTCTAGGCTGCCCAACTACTTTGTTCGGCCAGATCTGGGTCCCAAGATGTATAATGCTTATGGTAAGGAGGAGATGGCTAACTTTAAACTGGAAATAAAACAACTGAAAATGTTTGGAAAATTGATTTTGTGGGAGGGAAAGGTGGAAAGCACCCATAATCTTAATGCTTAATACAGCCACAGCCTTCATTTTTATGTATTTCTTTTCATTCCCTGGCCACATGTTTATGTATTTCATTTTCATAGTTGCAGTTGTAGGGCATATGCAATTTTGTGTTTTTCCCTTTACTATGCCTAATTTTACGTTGTAAAATCTTTACATGTTACTTAATAGTCTTTAGATCACTTTTAATGGTGTGTGATACATCATTGAAAGAATGTACTTTTATTAGTGATTTCAGTGTTCGGACATTTAGGTCAATCTGCTAGCATTCTAGCTGTCTTAACATCTGCTACAATTAAATGCAGTGTTCTGTATTGGTGAGTAGAAGTTAGTTACTTAGGATTCAAAGTACCCTTTGAATTGGACTTTTATTCTTTTGACATGACTCAATACTAACTGTCTAACAAGGAGGATGCCTGGGATAAAGATTGGTTTCTCCATTTATCAGAGCCTTCCTTCATCATTGTAACTGTGATCTTTATCAGTTTTACATATGGCCTTTAATTAGGGCTGGATTCGAGTTGGCCATTTTGAAGGAATTATTTATTGTTGAATGCAGTTCTAGTTGTTTGAATATTTCAGTGAATTTTATTTACTCATTTTTACTATTTGGCCCCTACTTTTCCAGTCCTCTTGGAAATTATTTATTTATTCTTCCCATAATTACTTCCATGTCACTTTCCATTTCTAGCCTTAGACCTGTGGGTGTCCTTTTCAAAAAGGACAAGGTCTGTTGTTGTCTTCACCGTGTTCTCCAAAGACTGTTGCGGGAGGGGAGGAGAAGAGGGGCAAAGACTCCAGCCCCACAATTCTGTTATGTTGAGTCAGCTCAGGGAACCACCAGGAGTGTAGTTGGGGACTGTTGTGACAGGGGAGTGTTTTTGTTTGCAAGCTCCCAGCAGTCTCTATGCCCAAGATAGTTCTGCCAGGGTAGGGGTAGAGTGAGAAATGGCGTGTGGGTGAGAAGACCCTGTGGGCACAAGGCCTTTTGCCTGTTCCTCACTTCTCAGGTCTCGGTGAGTCCTCCATGTACTGTGGGTCTGCAGTGTGCTCTCTTGAGGTCCTGTCCCTCGAGCCCTTCAGAGACTGATTAAAGCAGCTGGTTGGGATTTTGGGCAAACTTATGTATATGAGAGCATTTTTCCAATAAATTGTATCGTGTGATATTGTAGTTTTATCCATGCATTATAGAAATCCTGAAGCTTTAAAGGTGGGTATCTGAGAAATTTTCAAAAGAATTGCTTGCGTGGTTTAACTAGCTTGGCAGCAGGTCTTTTCCCCTAGACACTAATAGATGGCAGTGTTACTCTATAAAAGCTTTTCCTATGACAAAAGGGTTCCCATCCAGAAGTAAGCATTCAGGGAATGAAAATAATGAAGATATGTTCATTTTCAAACACCTTATATCTTATTGTAAACATCATTGAAGAGTGGTCTTTTCAAAGGTTGGGTGATTGAGCTGTGACTTTTCAATCAGAGTAAGTGCAAAGGCTCTTTGGAGAGATCATATAATCCAGCCTCTCTTCAGCTCCTGCAACACCCCCCCGCCCATTTTGCAATAAGGACCAGGACTTGAGGACAGTAGAAGGGACATTGACCTGTTCAGGATCTCCAGGGGGCAGCTAGTGGCAGGTCTGAGACTAGTACTTAGATCTCCTAATTTCCAAGCTAGTGCCCATTTTCCTACTCTTCCTCTACTCTAACTCCCCATCACCCAACAGCCCCTACTATTTCAGCTTTTTTCTCCCTTAAAAGTCCATGGTGTTTTGTTTCAGGATGTTTTGTTGTCTAGCACTCCTTTCCTTTTGACCATTATGTTTTTACAATTTTGGTTTCATCTGAGTTTACCATGGTTTAGAGTCTGGTTTTATCAGTGTACAGTTACCCATGACTGGGATCCGATGGACTTTGGGCCAGTGGCTGCACAGCAGTTTTTTCCTTCCTCGTTTTGCAGTGTGGCACTGGCCGGATCAGCAGGCAGCCAGTCCCTGCCAAGGCTTTGCCTCCTAGTCTCCTTTCCTTACTTTTCTTCCCAGCTCCATCCTCTTCCTATTGCCCTTAGTCTTAACCATCATCTTCAAGTTTGTGTTTATCGTTTGCTTATATTTATACTTTTAACATATATACTTGTATTCCTGCACAATATTCTTTGTTTTTAACCTGCTTTTGAACTTCATATAAATAGAATCAGATTTTTTATATTCATCCATGCTGTCATATAATAATATATCATCCATGTGTTCATTTCATTCATTTTATTTCTATTACATTAATTGCTTTTTTCTGAAATTGGGCTTTTTACTGTGGAACTATTTTTCAAACACACTGAAAACTTGAGAGTCTAGTAGTGTATTGGGGAAACCCCACTCCCGATATTCAACGTGGGTTCTTTTCTATTTCCCTAAGCGTCGGCTGGTCTGAGAAATAAAGGGGAAGAGTACGAAAGAGAGAAATTTTAAAGCTGGGTGTCCGGGGGAGACGTCACATGTCGGCAGGTTCTGTGATGGCCCCCCAAGCTGTAAAATCAGCAAGTTTTTATTAGCAATTTTCAGAAGGGGAGGGAGTGTACGAATAGGGTATGGGTCACACAGATCACATGCTTCATAAGGTAATAAAATATCACAGAGCAAATGGAGGCAGGGTGAGATCACAGGACCACAGGATGGGGCAAAATTAAAATTGCTAATAAAGTTCACAATTGTCATTGATAACATTGTCTTTGTCATTGATAACATCGCATTGTCATTGATAACATCTTACCAGGAGATGGGGTTTGAGAGCAGACAACCTGTCTGACCAAGATTTATTAGGCGGGAATTTCCTCGTCCTTATAAGCCTGGGAGTGCTACAGGAGACCTAGGCTTATTTCATCCCTTCAACTTTGACCGCAAAAGACAGCCGCCCCCAAGGGGGCCGTTTAGAGGCCTCCCCTCAGGGACGCATTCTCTTTCTCAGGGATGTTCCTTGCTGAGAAAAATAATTCAATGGTATTTCTCCTATTTGCTTTTGAAAGAAGAGAAATATGGCTCTGTTCCACCCAGCTCACCAGCAGTCAGAGTTTAAGGTTATCTCTCTTGTTCCCTGAACATTGCTGTTATCCTGTTCTTTTTTCAGGGTGCCCAGATTTCATATTGTTGAAACACACATGCTCTACAAACAATTTGTGCACTTATTGTTCAAACACACATGCTCTACAAACAATTTGTGCACTTAACGCAATCACCACAGAGTCCTGAGGCAGCATACATCCTCCTCACCTTACGAAGATGACAGGATTAAGAGATTAAAGTAAAGAGAGGCATAGGAAATCACAAGGGTATTGATTGGGGAAGTGATAAGTGTCCTTGAAATCTTCACAATTTATGTTCAGAGACTGCAGTAAAGACAGGCATAAGAAATTATAAAAGTATTAATTTGGGGAACTAATAAATGTCCATGAAATCTTCACAATTTTTGTTCTTCTGCCATGGCTTCAGCCAATCTCTCCGTTTGGGGTCCCTGACTTCCCACAACAGTAGTGACTCCATATAGCTCATCACCCAGTTATATAAGAGCTTTCAACTTTTTGCCATAATTGTTTCATTGTCTCCTCTCCTTAAATTTTTTCATCATCCTCTCATCTATACTGTGATTTCACCCTAATACCAAATGCTTTACCTATTCCTAGGGCTGATATTTCAGCAAGCTGGAAAGAAAAAGTACAATAGGGTTCTGGGGCCCTGGTCCCAAGTTGGAATGAAGAAATGTGCCCTCTCAAAAGTATAGCCCCTCTAAAACCACAGCCCCAGGCAAGCCAGAGATAAAGTCTTCCTCCAAAACAGTATTGCGGGGCGTTTGCAGAGGCCGGCAGGTTAGAAAATAGCTGCTGCTTGCTCACTACAAGCTGTGCTTCTGTCTGCTGCCCAGCCTAAGAAGCAGAGTCCTAGTGTTAGAATGGCTTGCCCAAGGTGACTGCAGGGTAAGCTTCAGGATGATTGCTGAGCAAGGTGAGCCTTCTCCTGTGAGCAAGGAATTAGCCACAGACTATGAACACTGGAGGGACTTGTCATTCCGCATCACTCCTCACCCCTCTTCTTTTACAGTTGAGAGAACCAAGGAATGCGTTGGGCATTGTTCCTTCTCATACTCGGGATAGCCATTTGAGGTTCCAGGTTTATGTGTGTGTGTGGGTGGGGGCTTTCCCTTGGACTCCCCATCTTGAGTGGTCCTTGGGCTTTGCCTCTTGTCCCAGAGCTCCTAGGCTGTGGCAACAATCAGAGCCTGAGCTCACTTGATTTAGCAGATGTCCTTTTGGCAAATCCCACCTTCAGAAGCCTGCCTTACCACTTCCATTTCCTGCTGTTTTTGGCTTCTGAGTATTCCTTCTTTTCTTGCTAGCACATTGATTGGTTAAAGATTTTTTTTTTGCAATAGTTTGATCCAGAATTTTTATTCTCAGCAGAAGAGTCAATCAGGGACCTACCATCCCCCAGGTAGTGGAAAGACTATGGCAGCCTTTGTTGTCTTCGTAAACTTAAGGCAGTTTGTTTTTGCAGGATTAATCACTCCTGAAGATCGGAAATATGGAACAACAAATCTTCACTTAGATGTATCTGATGCAGCTAATGTCATGGTCTATGTGGGAATTCCCAAAGGACAGTGTGAGCAAGAAGAAGGTAGGGTGCTGAGCATAAAAGGAGGGCTTACTCTTTGAGCCAGGGCCTGTGGTCTGATATTTGCTTTCTCTTCTTGCTCTAGAAGTCCTTAAGACCATCCAAGATGGAGATTCTGACGAACTCACAATAAAGCGATTTATTGAAGGAAAAGAGAAGCCAGGAGCACTGTGGCACATATATGCTGCAAAGGACACGGAGAAGATAAGGGAATTTCTTAAAAAGGTGTGCTTTTTATGGCATGTGTGAACAGAGGAATAGAGAATAGCAATATTACGTTACATGTGGTGAACTGACTGGCTTGGCTAGGGGAACTGTCACAACCTGAAAAGTTAAATCTGTACCTGTCAGATTGAATAGGCTGAAGGTGGTTGCTAAGGAACAAGGATTCTAAATGATTAGGGTTACACTTCTTAAAAAAAGCAGGCCTTGTCTTTTATGGCTGTGTTTTGTGTTAGAGTGCATTTAGAGATTTTTGTTCTCTGCTTTCAAGTTAGTGCATCTGATCATCTCCCAGCATCTATTTGTTTTTACTGCCTTAAGAATCTGAGCACTTCAGAGGTGCATGTATCCTTGGCCCTGAGTGACCATGTTCTTGAGTGAGTTACTAAGTTTGGTTTTGTCCACTCTCATGTAGCAAGTGACCCTACTTATCATTAGCAAGGGATGCAGGGATTCAGAAGATTCTAGGTTTCCCCTGTAGTTGGCAGGTTTTTTCAGCAAGGGCTATGTGTGGAAATTCTAGGCAACTAGAAAGATGAGACATGTTCAGTTTTAAACTTGTTTGGCACTGAGGCTGCCAGTTGCAACCCAGGTGTCTTTGGCTGATATGCTTCAGTCATTCATGAGTCTTGGATATGAGCATTCCTAACCTGTTAGCTGGCCCCAAGTATGTCTTTAACAAGCATTTGTTTGAATCAAGGTGTTTCTGGCTAAGGATCATTTGGCTCTTGCAGAAAACTGGCTTGGTCACCATATTGTTCCTTTGATATTGTCACTCTGAGTCTCTGCTTTACCAGTTACTGGATCAGGGATAAACAAGTCTAATCTGCAGCTGTCTTCGGGACTGTTTCATAAGTCAGATTAAGTGAAGACAAGTTTTTAATAACTTTAAAACAAGTTCATTTATAAGGAGCCTGAGCCTACTTATGTTTAAAAGTCTAGACTAAAATATTGTTTAAATACAGTATTTACAAACTTATACAGAGCCTGCCAGTCATGGTTTATGGGAACTGACATCAGAAAAGCCACATTTTCCTCGTCCTTCTTCTGTTGGTTCATTCAGCTGAAGTCTTCCAGTACTACTTGTCTTTTTCTGCCAATGGGGGGACTTAAGTTGAAGAAGGCCTGACATTTATGAACTGCCAACACTGTTTAGAGGAAAAAAATGGCTTATTGGGCCTTAGCATGTTACTGTTGCATAACATTTTGGGTGTATTCTAGGTGTCAGAAGAGCAAGGTCAAGAAAACCCAGCAGACCACGATCCTATTCATGATCAAAGCTGGTATTTAGACCGATCATTAAGAAAGCGTCTTCATCAAGAGTATGGAGTTCAAGGCTGGGCTATTGTGCAGTTTCTTGGGGATGTGGTGTTTATCCCGGCAGGAGCTCCACATCAGGCAAGAATCATTACTTTTTCTTTATTCTCTTTATAGTATGAACTTTTGAGTTACTGATATCACTTGCTGTTTTTCAGGTTCATAACTTGTATAGCTGCATCAAAGTGGCTGAAGATTTTGTTTCTCCAGAGCATGTTAAACACTGCTTCTGGCTTACTCAGGAATTCCGCTATCTGTCACAGACTCACACCAATCATGAAGATAAATTACAGGTAAAAATAGCACCATTTCCTAGCATTCTCTGGCTATGGCTTCATGGCCCATTCTTGACCTTATAAAGAGAGTCAGTGGACTTGGCCATATCGTACTTAGTAGCACAGTGAGTTGATGAACTTACTTTATATCTAGTACCACTATCTGCTTAAGTGAGGGAGGAACAAGAGGAAATCTCACCTTGGTTTGATTTGATATTGTTTAGAATCTGTAAGGAACTGTCCCCACAGAGAAAGGCCTTAGTACTGAAAATGAATAGATTTGTCTTCTGATCTTGGCCCAGCTGCCTGTCAGGGGTCATGAACACAGTTCTTAACCTTCAGTGCTGCAGTGTTCTCATCACCCTTAAGTAGAGCAGAACTGAGTCTCTCAGACTGAAAGAGGTCTGAAGGGGTGGTATTTTCAAAAGGATTTCAGGAATGAATTATGTAACATAATTTCATGTTTGGAAAATTAGGGAAAAATAATAAAGCTGTACCTTGGAATTGCCTCTCCCTGTACTCACTGTGAGTAGGTCTACGTGGCATCAAAACCTTTAAAAGGGGGAAAATGAGCTTTTTAAGTCCTTGAAATCATGGGTTTAAAATGTATATGAAATACTGGTCTGTAGGAGCCCAGGGACCTTTACAGTGTTGACATTTCATACGAATATTGAATTTTAAATTCTGCGAGAAGGTAATAAAATTGGAGAAGTTTATTCTTAGTGACAGGTTTCAGATTTAAATGTAAAATGACCATATTTTCTATTATTTTTAGGTGAAGAATGTTATCTACCATGCAGTGAAAGATGCAGTTGCTATGCTAAAGGCCAGTGAATCCAGTTTTGGCAAACCTTAATCTCCCTGCACATTGGAAATGAATTACAGGCAGCTGTTCAAACTCTTCAGGCAGGATTCCTGTGGACTTTTGAGATTCATGTTACCTCATCTTCTTTTTTAAACTGTACCCAACTTGTGAGGGTACTCTGTCTAATGTATATTTCTAGTGTTTACAGACAGTAAATGTGTATATGTAGTAACTATTTACAGAAAATGCATCCTTAAACTGTGACTTCTCACCTAGTGCAGAACTTTTACCAGGCTGTAAAAGCAAAACCTCATGTCAGCTCTGGAATAATACCTGCAGTTATTCTCCAGCTGTTTGGACAACTTAGATTGGGTTTATAACTATTAGGAATCACTGCACAGTTTACTTGGGTTGTATTTTGTTTTGTGTCAGAGTCCCCTCTCCCTCATCCCTTAGGGTCCAGAAGAGCAATGGAGGAAGTGACAGCTAATGTTGCAGTTCTTATTGTATGGCATAGGATTGGCATTATATAGCAGAAATCAACTACTGTACAATTTCTTGGGGTTAACCATCTTTAGTTAAATGGAATTTTAATTTAAATGAAGCTTTGCTAATTTTAAGTGTTAAGCATTTTGCATTAAAATATTCATATAATATTTTGGCTCAGTTTATTGGCATTATCCTCTCATTGTGGTTTCAACACAACTTTCTTCAAATGCAGGCGTAATGAATTGCTCCAAGAACTCTTCTCAAAAGTGAAGAAGTTTGATGCTGTAGTGATTTTCTGAGTGATTATTACAAAGCTAACATGGAAATTCCTGCTCAGCCAGGTAGAAACCCTGTCACACTTTGTCAAGGAAACACCACCAATTACATTTAGAAACAGGAATTAACCAAGAAACCAAGTAGTGCCAGGTTAAATGGTTCTAAAAAGGTAAGTAATGAAACACTTTGTCTTCTGGCCCTTCATAATGTAAGTTTATGAAGGAAAATGAAATTAAGTTCTATGACAGTACTACCTAAAATACTCATCTCTGTGAAGGAAAAAAAATTCACAGAGAAGCACCTTTCGTTAGCCCACTGATTCTCCTAGGCCACTCTTTCATTTAATTTCTTTAAAAAAAGGAATTAAACATTGAAATCAGGTAGTACATAGACAAACCCTAGAACCTGAGTTTTGTGAGCTGAGTAGGAGGCCAGAGGATCAGTATTAAATTAAAAAACCCATTGCCAAATCTAAGGTCAAAAGATTTGCTCTAATGTTTTCTAGGAGTTTTAAAATTTTAGCTCTTAAATCTTTGACCTATTTGGAGTTAATAATTAAATACGGTGTAAGGTAAAGATTCAATTTCATTTTTTTGAATATGGATACCCAGTTTTCCCAGCAACATTTGTCAAACACTGTTCTTTCCCCCATTGAATGGTCTTGGCACTCTAGTTAAAAATCAATTGATCGCAGATGGGAAAGCATATTTCTAGGCTCTCATATTCCATTGGTCTGTGTATCTGTCTTTATGCCAATACTGCACTGTTCTGATGTCTGCTACTTTGTAGTAAGTTTTAAAATCAAGAACTGTGAGTTCTCCAACTTTGGTCTTCTTTTTCATGATTGTTTCAGTTAGGGTCACTGGAAATTCCATATGAATTTTGGGGTAGGTTTTTTTATTTCTGCAAAAAACACCATCTGGGTATTGATAGAGATTGCATTGAACCCGTATGTTGCTTTGGGTAGTGTGTCATCTTGACAGTCTACTTCTTGCAATCCATGAGCATGGGATGTTGTGTTTCCACTTATTGGTGTCTAATTTCTTTCAGCAATGTTGTGTAGTTTTCAGTTGTATGAGTTTTGTGCCTTCGTGGTTAAATTTATTCCTAGGTATTTTATTCTTTTTTTGCTATGATAAATGAAATTATTTTTCTTCTTGTATTGCTAGCATTTATAAATGCAACCGATTCTTGGCATTGATTTGTATTTTGCAACTATACATATAAAATCATGCCATCTGTGAACAGGGATAATTTTACTTACTCCTGTATATAATCTGGATACCTTTCTTTTTCTTGCCTAATTGCTCTGGCCAGAATTTTCAGTTCCATGTTAAATAAAAGTAGTGAAAGTGGGCATCCTTGTCTTGTTCCTCATCTTTAGGGGAAAGCTTTCAGAGTGACTTAGCTGTGTATTTTTCATCTATGGCCTTTATACTGTTAAGGAAGTTCTCTTCTATTTTTTATTGTTTTCTTTTTTTATCCTGAAAGGGTGTTGGATTTTGTCATATGTTTTTCTCTGCATCAGTAGAAATCACGTTTTTCCTCCATTCTTCATTCTATTAATGTGGCATATACACTGAATAATTTTCATATGTTGAACCACCTGTCTATTCCGAGGATAAATCTCACTTGGTTGTGGTGTATACTCCATTTAACAGGCCACTGGACTTGGTTTCCTAGTATTTTGAGGATGTCTGCATCTGTAACCATAAGGGTTTGTTGTAGTTTTTCTTGTGGTATCTTTGTCTGAAATTGGTATCAGGATATTGTTGATATATTGAGATATAATTGTTTATAGCATTCTTTTAAAATCCTTTTTATTTGTGTAAAGTGGGTGGTGGTTTCTCCTATTTCGTATCTGATTTTAGTAACTTCTGCCCTCATCCTCATCCTCCTATAGTCTAGCTCTAGGCTTTTTAATTTTATTGGTATTTTTATAGAACTGTCTTTTTGTTGATTTTCTGTAGTTTTTCTGTTTCCAATTTCATTTATATCCGCTCTAATCTTTGTCCTTTTGCTAGCTCTGGGTTTAGTTTCTCTTTTTTTCTGGTTCCTTAAGGTGTACAGTTAGGTTATTGCTATGGTCTGAATGTTGTTGACTCTCAAAATTCATATATTGAAATCTAATGCGCAACGTAATAGTATTAAGAGGCCGGGCGTGGTGGGTCACACCTGTAATCCCAGCACTTTGGGAGGCCGAGACGGGCGGATCACGAGGTCAGGAGATCGAGACCATCCTGGCTAACACGGTGAAACCCCGTCTCTACTAAAAAATACAAAAAACTAGCCGGGTGTGGTGGCGGGCGCCTGTAGTCCCAGCTACTCAGGAGGCTGAGGCAGGAGAATGGTGTGAACCCAGGAGGCCGAGCTTGCAGTGAGCCACTGCAGTCTAGCCTGGGTGACAGAGCGAGACTCCGTCTCAAAAACAAAAACAAAAACAAAAAAATAAGAGGTGGAGCCTTTGGGAAATAAGTTATTAGGGCTTCACATGAACATCATGAGTGGGATTAGGGCTTATCAAAGAGGCTCAAGCAAGTTCCTGTAACCTTTCGGAAATGTGAAAACACAGCTAGAAGGCACCATCCATGAAGCAGAGAGCAAGCCTTTACCAGACACCAAATCTGCTGCTGCCCTGGCCTTGTGCTTTCCAGCCTCTGGAAAACCTGTGGTACTGTGAGCAATAAATTTTTTTTTTTTTTTTTTTTTGTAAATTACTCAGTCTTAAGTATGTTGTTACAGGAGTCTGAATGGACTATGACATTTACTGATATGAAATCTTCTCATTTAATATAGGTATTTATAGCCGTAAATTTCCCTCTGAGCATTATTTTTGCTGCATCCCCTTTGTTTTGGCATGTTGTGTTTTCATTTTCATTTATCTCAGGTTTTTTTTTGTTTGTTTTGTTTTGTTTTTTTGAGACAGAGTCTTGTTCTGTCACCAGGCTGGAGTGCAGTGGTGTGATCTTGGCTCACTGCAACCTCCACCTCCTGGGTTCAAACGATTCTCCTGCCTCAGCCTCCCAAGTAGCTAGCACTGCAGGTGCATGCCACCATGCTCAGCTAATTTTTGTATTTTTAGTAGAGACGAGGTTTCACCATGTTGGCCAGGCTGATCTCGATCTCTTCACCTCGTGATATGCCCGCCTCAGCCTCCCAAAGTGCTGGGATTACAGGCGTGAGCCATGTCTCAGGTATTTTCTAATTTCTCTTGTGATTTCTTCCTTGACCCTTTGGTTAAGACTGTGTTAATTTCCACATATTTGTGAATATTTTAGTTTTCCTCTGTTACTGATTTCTGATTTTATTCCATCCTGGTTGGCAAAGATACTTTGTATAATTTCAGTCTTTTTAAATTTCTTGAGACTTGTTTTGTGCCCATATGGTTTATGCTGGAGATTGTCCCATTTGCATTTGAGAACAGTGTATATTTTGCTGTTGTTGGGTGGGTCATTCTGTATGTCTGTTGGGTCTGTTTGGTATATAGTGTCATCCAAGCCCTCTGTTTCTTCATTGATGTTTTGCCTGGTTGTCATGTTTGTTATTGAAAGTGGGATATTGAAGTCTGCAACTATTACTGTAGAACGATTTATGTCTTCAATTCTGGCAAGTTTTACTTCATGTTTTTTGGAAGTTCTGTTCTTAGGTGCATATATGTTTATAATTGCATATGTGTTTATTATATATTCTTAATGGATTGGTCCTTTTATCAACATGTAATGTCCTTCTTTGGTGTCTTGAAATCTTAAACCGAAATCTGTTTTGTCTGACAATTATATAGATAACCCCAGCTTTCTAGTGGTTACCATTTCTATGGGCTCTTTTCCATCCTTTTAACCTTTTTTTCTTTGTTATCTAAATTGTCAGCATATAGCTAGATCATGTTTTTTATGCTTTCAATCTGCCTTTTAATTGGAGTTTAATACATTTAGAGTAATTAGATGACTGACTTCTGCTTTTTAGCTGTTTTCTGTATGTTTTATCTGGTTTTTGTTACTTAAAATCCCACCATTACTGCTTTATTTCATATTTAGTTGAAACTTTGTATTGTACTTCCTTTTCTTTCCTTTTGTGTATATTTTTAAGTTATTTTCTTGGTTATTCCCTCAGGAACTGCAGTTAACATCTTAAGCTTTACAAACTTCAGGAGTTTTTCTTGTTTTGTTTTTGAGACAGGGCCTCACTGTGTCACCCAGGCTGGCACAGTCTTGGCTCACTGCATCTGCCACCTGGGCTCAAGTGATGTTCCCACCTCAGTTTCCTGAGTAGCTGGGACTACAGTCTTGCACCGCCACACTCAGCTAATTTTTTTATTTTTTATTTTTTTTGTAGAGGCGAGGTCTCACTGTTGCCCAGAATGGTCTCAAACTCCTGGGCTCAAGCAGTCCACATGGCCACCTCAGCCTCCCAAAGTGCTAAGATTACAGGCGTGAGCCATTGTGCCTGGCTTATAAACTGCAATAGTATACAAAAAGTCTGCCTCTATACATATTCATCTCTGCTTATTTATAGTGTTATTGTCACAGATTACATCTCTATAGTGTCCATTAACATAGTTTTTTTTTTTTTTTGAGACAGAGTCTCGCTCTGTCGCCCAGGTTGGAGTGCAGTGGCCGGATCTCAGCTCACTGCAAGCTCCACCTCCCGGGTTCATGCCATTCTCCTGCCTCAGCCTCCCGAGTAGCTGGGGCTACAGGCACCCGCCACCTCGCCCGCCTAGTTTTTTGTATTTTTTAGTAGAGACGGGGTTTCACCGTGTTAGCCAGGATGGTCTCGATCTCCTGACCTCGTGAGCCACCTGTCTCAGCCTCCCGAAGTGCTGGGATTACAGGCTTGAGCCACCGCGCCCGGCCTAGATTTTCAATTATTTATGCATATTTGCCTTAAGGCA